GGGCCACTGATGCGATGGTCCATGGCCTCCACTGCAAACTCTCCGAGATGTCTAATCACAGCACACAGTAGAGATGTCTGTTCGGCCTTTTCTGAGAACGTCGAGTATAGCACAGCAAGTTTTATGAGATGTGTTTGTTGTCTTTCGGTAGAGTTGGCATGGATGAACACATTTCCCTGCCAGTTTCGGCCTCGTTAGTCTCACTACAGACACGTCTATAGGAAAATTGCAACCATTTTCATTGTCATGTAACGCAAGCAGCGCGTCGTGTCCATACATTTTTCTCTTTTCAACTCGCCAACAATTGAGCAGCCCAGATAGAAATGGCTGTTTATATGATGGATGGAGTTAATTGCATGAGTCTTTCTAAATAAAGCAATGTATTCAATCCTAGAACGAGGACCTGTAATTCCGCAGACAGTTTTCTGTTTTCGACTCTAATCGTACCATGGACATCATCAACCTCAAATGTATAACCATTTGCGCTATTGTTGGGGGAAGATGAGGCATCTTTATCTCTTTTTTACATTGGCCACGGTTGCTGTAGTTGTGGGACTATCTTGATTTCGCTACGCCAAATAGTCCTGCGGGTCGAAATGGAAAGGCTCCTTGTCCAGGAAACTACTGGCAGGCAAGACGGAGATTTTTGTTACATACCAGATACAGAAGCTGACACAATTGTCTACGGTTCTGATGCCGGGCAATGGTAAGGTAGTTAGAGCAGAGTAATCTTCAGCAGTTGAAGACAAAGAAAGCAGAGGCCTATCAACCGATCACTGAGCTTAGAAGCTGCGCCAGCAGCAACGCATTTACGGAAGCAGGCGACCAGGGGCCGCCGGTGAAGTAGAACGCCCGCCTAAAGAGGATATCGTCAGTACCAATGCTTTTCCCGTCGAGGAAGCACTACTTTTGTCTAATGCGCCTCGTTCAGCTCGTCAGAGCAGCATTCGCAGCGCAACCAGTGTTCAAACATGGCATTGACCCTCAATCGCTTCAGCACCTCAATGGAGTGTTCCAGGATGGATGGACCCCAGAACACCGCTACCATGTCGGAGGAGCAAAATGAGGTGAGGCAGTATCAGCAGCCCAATGATGGTCGCTGCACCAACCAAATCCACAGCCTCTTTGGGAGTGCAGTGCTTGGGCCACAAATTTAGGCTGTAAACAAAGAGAGCTCCAATTACATCAAGAATCAAATGCATGGGCCACATACGCGTGGAGCGCACAGGGTTAGACCACCCTGGTCAGGCCACAGTGACCAGAAGGCCCGAAGACAGAGATAGGACCCGCTCCTTGCTCTCCGCAGAATACCTTGGTTTGTGTTAGCATGGAGAGCGGCAGGGCTGCTGTTGCTCATTGCCGCCTGCCGCGATCCTCATTGCTGATGACTCTGATCCTGGGATCGGTGGTTTATTTTTTGTGATCACACAGGGCTGCACTGCAGAAGACGCTGCAGGGTGTTAGCGGTGCGGCTCTATTAGGTCCCCGCGGGTGCTGTTACTTGTAGCATTCTCTTTTGGCGTATTTACTGATGTGCGTTACAGGGTTTGTGCCAGTCTGTCACCCGCTAGCGGTTGCAGTGGGTGATATTCCTTTATTTGATCCAGGCACAGGAGCATTAAACTATGGATCGTAAATCAGCTATTGAAGGGGCCCATTCAGCAAGGTGTGTTCCAAAGTGGATAGTTTGATCCGATCAGATAAGAGTCGCTTTGAGACGTGTTCAGCAGCCACTGCCTACAAGCGTGCTGCTGCGAAAGAGCACCATTGTCTCCACTGTGCGTGTCTGCGTTCTTTGCCCTCGCTCTTCTTCCCTGCTGTTACTATTACTTATTCTTGTCTCGTTTTGAGAGCAGTATCGTCCACTAGTGTTGCTGCAATCGATGTTGCTACCGATACAGCTATCGGTGCTGGGTATTTCTCTGCATGCGCCTCCGCAATGCACTCGTCCGTAAATGGCTCCAGCTGATGGTGGCGCTGATGGTGGCGCTGGCGGTATGTAAACCAGCCGTTGTACCTCACTCTTTTCTTTTCTTTTCTCTTTCTTTTCTCCTTGTCACTGCTTCAACGTCAAGGTAAGTACTAACATTCAGCTGCACTCTCTCCACTCCTCTCTTCACAGCTGCACTCTCTTCACTCCTCTCTTCACAGCCCCACACTATATGCTTCCACTCTTTGCACCTGCACTCTTTGAGCCTCCACTCTTTGCACCTGCGCTCTCTGTGCCTACACTCTTTGTGCCTACACTCTTTGTGCCTACACTCTTTGTGCCTACACTCTTTGTACCTACACTCTTTGTGCCTACACTCTTTGTGCCTACACTCTTTGTGCCTCCAATCTTTGCACCTCCACTCTGATATCGTCGCTCACCTCCCCATTGTTCTCTCTCTCTCTCTCTGTCGCTCTCCTTCCCCCTTCTTCCCACCTTTCCTAGAGCTTTCTTGGACTTTGTACACCGCAAAGTCAACTGTACGAGCACACAGCGGGGTTCTCTGTTTTTTCTGCTTCGGTTGTTTTTTTTTCCCCCGTATTTTTTTTTTCCGTATTCGTTTCTAATTTTTTTTGTTCATCACCGGGACGAAGAACACGAAAAAACCATGAAAATGAAATCGAAAAACAAAAAATCAAAGATGAGCGGCCCCATTTCTGAGGCCTAGGGCTACCAGTGGGCGGCGAAGAGCGGGCCCCCCTCTCTGCATTTTTCTTGAACAGCAGTTCCGTTCTGAACAGCAATGAGCGCAACACTTTTCGCCATTTTTTGTTGTTGTGACCCATGTGGTCTGCTCTGCGCTTGACGGGGCGGCTTCGTGTTGCCAAGAACACCCTGGTAGGTCTAGTGCCGGTGATGATCAGGGCATTGTTCTGCGCGATTGGGGGTTGCACATGGGGTTCGAGGGCTAATAAAAAAAGATGGGTCAGCGGGGGTTGGTGAGTTGCTGCGTGAGATCCACTCTTTTTTTCCCACATTCGTGGTTTTTTGGGGCACCATGGCTTGCAACCTGCTCGAGGTGTGCCCTGCACGGCCTTTACTCTTCTGAGTAAGGTCGACCGATGGCAAGCCGTTTTTTTTTTTTCTCTTTTTTCTTTTTTTTCTCTTTTCTTTTTTTCTCTTTTCTTTTTTTTCTCTTTTCTTTTTTTTCTCTTTTCTTTTTTTTCTCTTTTCTTTTTTTTCTCTTTTCTTTTTTTTCTCTTTTCTTTTTTTTCTCTTTTCTTTTTTTTCTCTTTTCTTTTTTTTCTCTTTTTTCTTTTCTCTTTTTTCTCTTTTCTTTTTTTTCCCTTCCCTTTCTTTCCTTCCCTCCTTTCCGTTCCTCCTTTCCTTTCCCTTTTTCTTTTTCCTTTCTCTCCCTACAAAATTGTAGAGCAAAGTAAAGATAAAGAAATGGAATAAAGTAAATGAAATAAAATAAAGAAGCAGCTACTGTTTGCTCCAACAGTTGCCTTGTGCGATCGATAACATGCTCGCTTTGTGCTGGAGGTGTTGACAGCGATGTAACTGAAGGACAGGATGTAGGCCTTTTGAAGATGATTGGTACACTTGCACCGGCGCTAGTAGAAGCAGCAGCAGTACATCGAGGTGCCTGTACTGATTTCCGTCCAAGCTGGCTCTCGGTTTGGTTTCTTTGGGGGCAAGTGCGACACTCTGACGGCCGACTGCAGATTTCTAGCTGTGCCATAAGAGCCCGTGCAAGAGTTATGCGTAGAGTACGTCGATCCATGGACGTTACACAATGCATGGACACTGCACAACGGACACTGCACAACGCACATTGCGCGGTGTGCTTTTGCAACACCAAATGCAAACATACCTAGTTATCGCTCCAAATGCTGCAGCTCACTGTTACGATGTATGTCTAGTTGCAGGGGATGGGCTCCCAGCAAGGGTTCGACCTGTTGCTGTCTCGGCCAGCACCTTACATCGGCGGCAGCATCTAACATCGACGGCAGTCGATCGATGTGAGCTCAGGTGTGCCAATCCGACTTTAGCGCCGTGTAGCACCTACTTTTCTCTTCTAAGGTTCAGGTGACCACGCATAGCTGCCTCAGTCATCAAGCTAAAATACAATACACAGAACATTCGCTGCTGCTAGGTGCCTCCACACAGCTGGTTCCTGTAGCCGCTGTGTCACAACGGGTGCCAAAAAAAAAGAAAAAAAAAAGATATAGCACATGGAAGAAAAAGTCAAAAGATGTGTCGAGGGGCACCAGGCCTTTCGCATTAACATTTTCAACACATAACCCAGAACCCTCTTAGCCGAGAAGACATGGTGTAGACCCCCTCGACACATGAATCACTATGATTGGTGGAAACCAAAGAATTCAGTTGATTCTTATACCCGTGCACGGCTCTTTGCCAGGTTGGTAAGAGCCATTGACTTGCAATCTGTCCGTCCGGGTTCGACTCCTGGTCATGGCGAACACATACCTCCATAGCGAACACATACCTCCACAACTGCTAGCACCTATGTAGCAGGGCCATCTCTACTAAACAAGCTGACTCCACGCCGTACCCTTGGCATCCATCCAAACCATTGCTGGACTGTATCGAGTCGACCTTGGAGCAGTGGAACGCGAGTAGCTGTAGTAAGTTCCTTGCGCGAGTCTCAGGGACAGCCAGAAGCGTCACTTCCGTGAGTCCTGGACAACGCTTAAGGAAAGCAAGCAGAAAAGGATCCTCAACCGGGGTAGCATGTCTTCTCGGATATGGAGTCGCCGGACGATCGAATGTCTCCGTTTGAGGCCGGGACCTCTGCTGGAGGCAAAGCAAGCTCCGATGCTGGCACGCATGCAAGCAGTTCTGGGCGTCGTCCACAGACAAAAGGCGCTCGACAGCGGTAAAATGGTGTCCACTGCGCGTGACATACCACCTAGGCATCTGAGCAGACATTTGAGCAGGCGTGTGGACACACATCTGAACACACATCTGGGCACATATCTGGGCACACATCTGGGCTATGGGAATAAACAACGCCGCTTTATGAATGTCGTGTATCCCTATTGCTATGCTATTCTACGCGTTCCCAGACTGCTTGGCGAGAGAGTAAAAGATCGAGCTCTGGTCCGCAAGCAATGCCGCTGGCATGTCGAACTCTGCCACCCGTCCCTGGTCCAGAACCATGATCCTGTCGCTATCCATCACTGTGTCGATTCGATGCGCGATCGTCAGGATCGTGCACTCGCGGAACTTTTGCCGGATAATCGCCTGCACCAGCGCATCTGTCTCCAGATCAATCGCCGCCGTTGCCTCGTCCAGGACCAACAAGCTGGTCTTGCGGAGAAGCGCCCGTGCAAGGCAGATCAGCTGCCTTTGGCCCACCGAGAAATTGTCGCCTCCCTCAAGCACCATCGCATTGAGTCCTCCTTCCATGGCCGAGACATATTCCTTGAGATACGAGTCCTCGAGTGCCTGCCACAGGTCGACGTCGGGCCTTGTCCCCAAGGGATCCAGGTTGAACCGGATAGTACCAGCAAACAGGACCGGGTCCTGGGGGATAATCGAGAACCGAGAGCGGACATCGTACAGGCCCAGAGTCGAGATATCGATGCCGTCGACAAGAATCTGTCCCTTGGCGGCCTCGATGATGCGGAAGAGCGACAGGGTCAAACTGGACTTGCCTGCTCCTGTTCGGCCGCAGATGCCGATCTTCTCATGAGGGTTGATCGAGCAGTTGACGCCGCGGAGGACAAGATCGAGCCCTGGGCGATATCTGGTCTCGTAGTCGATGAATTCGACGCGTCCCTGAGCTGGCCATTCCTGTGGTGGACGATTGGCGGGATTGATCTCTGAGGCTTCAGGCTTGAGATCGACGTATTCTTGAAGTCACCCTAAATGTACATGGCGTTGCTTTGCCCAATGGTGTTGGTATGCTCGCTTTGATCGATTTTCTGAAACAAGTGATGATTCGTGGAGGAGTGTGGTAGCGCGATGGACTGATACTTCCTTCAGCGCGCTCTCCAGGAGACAGAAGTATGTAAGGATGGCAAAGAAACGGCAATTGGATGCTAGAGCAGAGCACAGAAGCTAAACGTCAGTAGATTGCAATGCGGCCAAGTCTACGGCTGGAATAGGGCGAGTATTTCAGATCAGAGAAACAAGATGAAGACTTAGCCGCTCGTTCCTCCTCAGGCTGGCTAAAGGACCGCTGCCTGTCGCTGAATGAGACGGAACGGAGGTTATTAATGGCGCCATACAAGGGTCAAATCCACACCGAGTCTTTAAGCTTGATCCCGCATGTTAGTACTCGATTCATGGATGGACAGTTTATTTTTCATCCGGGTATCATGTTCCATTAAACGCAAACAGCAAAAATATCTGTGCACTTGCAGCATATATAAAGTGCCGTGAAGGCAATAGTTCGCTCGTCTTTATTTGATGAGGGCTGGTTTGGGCATGAATGTCTTCCTCTTATTTCCAGACTGAGGCTTGCCATACATCAATTCAACATAATCCAGTCTTGGCTTCGTCTTGTCTAGGTTCTCATTTTTCTTCTTGTTGGCCTGTGCTGCCTTGCTGCCGCTGCCTGTACTGCTCTGATGTGTCGTGGTATCATGGTCCTCATCCATATCCTCGTCCTCAGACTCGAGTTCTACATCCTCCAGAATCTCTAGATCCTTGACCGCCTGCTTGACCCCTCCGTTCAGCTGCATCTTGTATGCAAGCGAGGCTTTGGGTGGGTGTGCTCCTGCTGAGGAGATAGTCGACTTTTTGGCGATGGTAGGGTTGGCAGTCACGGAGAGAACGTCCTTTGTCTTGCTGTGTCCTTTCTGCCCTCCAGTCGTTGTTGAGTTGCTAGAGTCGAATAGGCTGGTCTCGGCTGTACCCTTTGTCAATGACATGACAGCCTTTTCCTTGCGTGTCGGACGCTTGAAGAACTTTGCTGACTTTCCCATAGTTGTATATATGCGACTGGAATGAGTGAGGTGTGGGCGTGGGATGAAGAAGGTGCTTTTGAAGTGCGCTTCAAAAAAAAAAAAAAAAATCTTGTTTACCTTGCCGAGGTGACTGTCTCCGTAGAATTGCACGCCGGCACTAGGGAACGCGCCTGGTATGCGTACTCCGGACTCTAGTGAAGCCAATTGCTTCCGCTAGCAGTGCCCTACAGCAGGGAGAGGGCGCCCAACACTCTGTGGACCTGGTCTCCAAAGGGTCCTCATTTTTGGGACCTGGCCTGTCAAAGATAGATCTAGCTTAAGCGGGACTGTTTTACAGCTCTAGCCAGTCTATGAAGCGATCATGACGATTTTGAACTTTGACGCGAAATAAAAGACGTGCGACTCTTCCCCTGGTCAGCTCATTCTCCTCCTTCACAATTGCCCTCACACACCTGTTTTACCGTAATGGGGACCTTCATCACAGACCGGTTGCAACACCTAAACAACGACCTCGTACAGCTCTTCCACCTCGACAGCCAGCCGCTCATCGACAACCACCACCGCCACCACCGTCAAATAAACCCACGCAGCTCCCCAGGCACCGACAGAGCCAGCACCACCACCAAAGAATCCAACACCATCACCAAACAACAGCAGGATGATGATACCGTCACTGAAGAATCGAATCTGGCTCTCTTGAGGGATCTTCGAGCATCTATTGAAGCCATTGATCTTCGTTCAGGCGACCTTCCGCCCCTAGAACGCGTATTCCTCGAGATCGAAAAGGTCGAGGGATTGTTCGCAGCCGCTTCTGAGTGTCGTCAGACAGCCGAGGTCTCGAAGTTGGAGCACCTCTTTGTGGCAAAGTGCACAGTGGCAGTGTACCTGGGTCTGTTGAATGTTATCTTGAATGCAACGTTGCCCCTGGCCAGCGAGATCAATTACTGGCAGTCGTTGCTTGATAACCAACCGTGGAGATTGCTTTATATTGTTCAGAGTAAGTGTCTTTGCGTAATAGAAAAACGAATGTGCGCTTTACTCTGGGGCTATTCTTCTATTTGCTATATGATATTGCCACTGACATTGTGCATGTAATTTTCAGCCTCGCCACACCGGCTCTTCAACTTGACAAGATCCGTGATTGCCTCCGCACGCGAGCATATCGACTCTTTGATCGGCCCAATCCAAGAAGCAGACCGTAAAAACCATCTTTTGCAGCTGCTCCAGTACTTCCCAACCTTCCTCAACAAGCACATTATCTCTCAGCAAGTCTCTTTTCCAGTCGCTATCCACTACGAGATCACGAGCCACCGCAAGCAGCTGCAGCGGATCAAAGAATACCAAGCAGAATGCCTTGGACTACTTGCAGAACAGGGTCTGAATCTCGATCCGGAACACTTTGAGGACTCGTTTTCTGCGTCATCCCCATCTTCTTCTAGTTCAATCATCGACGTGGAAAACTCGGAGCATGCGGAGAAATTTGTTCAGGAACAAATCTCAAAGACCGTTTGCCTCATGGAGCGCGTGCTCGACAAGGCTTCCAAGGATACGCGTCACCTTACGGACCCTCATCAACAGAAGGTTCCTTCTCGACACGCGGCTCGATCTCTGACGATCCTTGGCAACCTTCAGGACGTTTCCAATCTGAGCAACGACGAGACTATGAGCCGTTTAAAGAAGCTGATCCAGGTGTATATCCCTCGCTATGTGGATCAGACCGAGAGCCAAGCGCAACAGTTTTTTCGTCCATCGTGGTTGACCCGGATCTGGATCCCGGTATTGATCGGATACTTTGGGCTGAAGTATGGAATTCAGTATATCAGCGAACATCGCGCGGATCTGGACAGGATGCTCGAGGAAGCGTGGGATACTGCCAGACGGTTCGTCTCAGATTGGGTGTGGGAGCCCTCGATGAGGATTATGGCTATTATTCGACACACGGACGACCAAGGCTCGCTGCAGATGCTCGGTAACGAGAGTCTCAAGTCAGATATTGCCGTAAGTTTCATCACGGATGCTGAAGTACGCCTGTATGATATCGAACACACGATTCATTTCTAATTTTTTTTCTCTTCTTCGAATGACCTTAACAGAGCCTTGAGCGCATGGTGCTTGATTTTGGGAAGGAACACTACCGCCTCGGAGCTGATGATCTCCAGTCGCTCTCCCAGGCTGTGCATAATGGCGATATTTCGATGATCATGCGTGCGTACGAGCAGGAGCTCAAGGTTCGTAAACTCACATCGCATGGCAGCACTACCATCTTATTTCGGTATCTCATTCTAAACTCTCTCCTTTATATTCAACCATACTAGACCCCACTAAAGGGCGCCATTGTAGGAAACCTAGTCCAAACGCTCCTGATCCAGGTCCAAAAGACAAAGGTGGACGTGGAGGTCGCCATGGCAGCACTAGACAAGCTATTGAAGGCGAACGAACTCAACTTTGCGTTCCTGGCTGTCGGTCCCAGTTTGCTGCTCTTGTGGGCCATCTCTTCAAAGGCCAAGAGCACCTGGCAACGGATGGCAGGTCGCAACTTGGGCGTGGTATCGCTCCAGATGAGGAACTCGTTAAGACAGGTCGAGCGATTGTTGAACTTAGCTTCCGCTTCAGGCGATGGGCACCCCAAGGCACAGGAGACAATACGTGTTGCGCTGCGTCAGGATCAAGGTAACAGTCAACAAGAAAGTGAACTAAGACTTTCAGAGGAATACGATGACTTGTCGTCAAGTTCTGCCACCGCGCCCACGACTGAATCAGCATCACTGTCGTTGACGCCATCAGCGGAGCCACTGTCAAACACATTGCAGATGGCCACGGAAAGACTGTCGAGGATGAGGGCCAAGAAAGGCATGGTTCCATACAAAACCCAAGGCTTGATCTTGTGCGAGGTGCACCTGCTTCGAACGTTTGCTGCTCGACTGACACGACAGGAGGGCCTGCGGGATAAGGTCATGGAGGATCTGCGCGAGATCGAAGAGAGTTCATTGACAGTTCACCAACGTCTCAGAACGACCAAGCGCATGTATAGAACGTATGGGTTCCTGGGATTGCACCATTGAATATTATGTAGCCCCGATCCTTGAATACAATTACCATAATCGGTTGCGGGCTTTGAGGTACGCAGAAGGAAAATAAAGCAATGGAGTATATTTTTGGCTGAATCCGCTTTAATGCGGGTTTGTTGCATCAAAATTCTGCTAATCTGCCAGACGACTCATCGACTCTAATGACGCCGAGCGCATGTCTAAGTTCAAGGTTGAAGTGGAGGCACTAGTCGACAACTATATGAAAATGAACAGGAGACAATATTCATAGGATGGTTAGACAAGATACTTCTTGTGGATGAAATTATTAGCGACCAATAAGACGTCCAATATGAACAGGGAACTTACTGCACTGCCCATCATCTTTTGCTTGATATCAACTACAGGAGTAACGAAAAGGAGATACAGTGTTGGGATGAGCAAACATGGTCCGAACAACTCTTGGCCTCCAACACAGCGTTTCCCATATCATTTGAAGATTGGTAAGCACTCACCAAACTCCTCGTCACTGAGCGGTGAAAACTTGATGGAGTTGTTGGACGGATAGTTATCATAAAGACTCGACTCTGTGATCGAGAGCTGTGCTCGCTGCTGTGCTAACTTTGCGAAAATCTTGTTCTCATGCCGATACCTGAAATTCACATAAAAAAAAAAAGGTCATTAATACAACTCCTGCGGTCTGCATAAACTAAAATCCTGGGTAAGTGCTCCTGACTTACATCCGATAGGCCTCCTTGTTCACAGCTTGCTTCTCCACAATCGTATCCAGGACGCACTTCTTAAAGGCCGCCTTGACAAAATGTAACACGTGGAACAGGTAATCCCGATGAGGTCGCCACTGTGGGAATTGATACTGTAGTGCCAATTGGCCCTGGTTATCGATCAGCGGATGCCACATGTCACTCAAAAAGCGCACTGTCGGCCGACGATCAGGGTAATCAGCAGGGATCACTAGCTGGAACTTGAACACTGCATTGCGGTAGTAACCCTTGTGAATAAACAATGTTCCGAACCATACTATTCGTTTAAGAATCGCGTGAAAGAAAGATTAGCTAGCTGTTTGTCTCCAAGCAAAAAGAGGGAATAGGTCGGTCCCATGGTATGGCCAAATTTAAAAAAAGAAGTGGACTGGCATATCGCGTGGATCACGTAAGGTCAGGTCAGGCATTATCAGCTCAGAGGAGTGGTTAAGCAAACAACGAAAGCACCGTCTTACTGCCCATCACAAACAAAGAAGGTACGCAGTACACCCCCTTACGGTCAGCCCGAATAGAACATCATGGCTAAATAAAGCGAGCCCAGTGGCAGAAGAGGAAAAAACTATGTCGAACTTACAGTTCATGTTGTCGGCAGCGGGCATCACATAGAGTCCAGACGGGCAGTGGTGAGGATTCCGTAGATTGGTACTATCAGACATGGCAATAAAAAAAAGGGCGGAGCTTCAGTACATATAGCATGTACCGCGATAGCACGTCGAAATGCGAAAAGTCAAGGGGGTTTTCATTCGCTGAACATACAATTCAATCATGAGTTCATATCGGCGAAAAAAGTCAGAAAATAGCTGTGGTCGTGCTACTGCTGAGGGTCGCGCGGAAGGATGCCTCTGGTTCTGCAGTGCATAGTCCTGGTCTATGGATTTGCCACCATTACTACTGCCGCCGCTGTCCTGTTGCAGCAACTGTGAAGACGACCCCAGCGAGGGTTGATGGACAGAGAGAAGGCGCTGCTGCTGAGGCTGTGGATGGAAGAGCTGGTGATGTTGCGTGGGCGCGTTTGCACCCATGACAAGGCTGTTGTTCCTGGATCTTGTTTGAAAGAAACTCATTGCGTTCGTTTTGCTTGGTGTTGGATTCGAGTATGAAGAAATGCAGCGGTGTGTCTTGACTTGGTTCAGATGGTAATGTCGAGGAGGGTCGGTGTTGGGTCCTATTTTTTACTGAGAGCTAGTTCCAAGAAGGATGTCGGTCGTTGATGGTGTCGGTGGTGGCGGCAGAGGACTTGAAGGAAAGAGCAGGAACAAAGATAAAAAAAGAAAAAAAAAAGGAATAGGAATAGGAAAGAACATGCTGAAGTACCAGAAGAATACTATTCAGGGACAGGCACAGGCACAGGCACAGACACAGGCATCAGCATGGCTGCTCGTTTTTAAGGTTCGTGTTCCAATGGGCTTACGTTTTTGTAAAGCGAGTTTCTTTTCACTGCGCAAAGCATCGTCCTAGTAGTCTAGCTTAGCCCATTACACGATGAACACGACTCCGCTCAGCTACTATTCCAACTCGTCCACAAAGCCGACTTTCTTCCTATCGTCTCTTTGTGCCACTGCACTCGTCTTCACGTCCTCAGCAACATCCATACCGGTCGGTGCTACTGCTCCGTCCTCGTCCTTTTCCATCTTGTATTCCCTCGCAAACCGCTCCAAGTCCTCGTGGGGATTGTCGTGCTCTAAATATCTCTCCTGCACATCCTGTACTGCATCTTCCCATTCAGACCCTGCCCGCATGGCCGTCATGAAAATACTCTCGTTCGCCTCTTCCAGTCCTCCAAAGACATACCCTCCAGCCTTGTCAATCGCCCGTACGACCCGTGTGACCGATTCCTTGTCCTGAATGCACAGCGTCTCGAAGCCGACCAGCCCAAAATCCTCGATTAAATCACATAATGCCCCGTTCAACTGCTGAAAACGTTTCATAAACGGATCCTGATTCAGATGATACTGCAGAAAGCTCAGGTCCGCCACATTGGTGTAAAAATCCAGCGACATCGGTAGCCGACCATAGGTCTCGATTAAATCAACCTTTGATAAAACATTGACATGTGGCAACTCGAGTTGGAGCATGGTCTTGAGTGAGAGAAGTAATACAGAGATGTACTTTGCGGCATCCGTGCAGTAGTGAGAGTCCACCAAATGTACACAGCAGAGCTATTTCGTGAAAACATCATAGAAAAAGGAGTCAATAAAGTCCAAAGAGTAAATGAAGTTTTTTTTTTTATCCGCAGCAGTTTCGTGAATGGCCTACTCTGTATCCCAACTTTTCTAGCCTGCTCAAGATCCGCTTCATGGCATCATTATGGGTGTACAGCTCCACCTGTCCCGGACAATCAAACACAATATAATCGTCTCCACAGGCCTTCAGTTTTTCCTCAAGCCAATCCATGTTGTCGGCAAGATACTCCATGCAGTAGATGATGCCACCGTTCGGCCCCAGCTGGAGATTTTCCATGGTATCCTCTAATGAAATCAGTTCCAGAATCGAGATGTCGGTCGGATATGGAAGAATCTCGTTGGCAGGATCGAGGTTGACAATCCTCGTTTTCCTATGGACAGCAATGCAATAGGGATCAATCCAGGACAACGTCAGTATCTCATTATTCCGTATCGAGGTACAATTGCGAAAAAAATCGATTTTTCATACCTTTCCATGCCATTGAGAAACTGGTACATTCCATTGCAGTACGTCGTCTTGCCTGATCCTGGAGGGCCGATTACTACCTGCAGCAGAAAGTTACAGACGCGGTATCAAACTCGATGTGAGTACTGTATTGTAGAAACTCATTCTGGACAGGCAAATGTTCCTCCCTTGTATCGAATGTTCTTGGTCATGTACCTGTGCGAAGGGCATTTGTGTGGCTGTATCCTTTAATTATAACCTGTTTCTGTCCTTCTCGGTTGTTTCCTGGGTGTTGAGCTGGAGGTGCGATGCAGTTGTGATGCCAAACAAAGTCTAAACGATCGAATGGCAAGGAAGGATCTTCGAGGGTGCCACTCTATTAGCTGAGTATACACGTGATTTCAATTGCGCCCAGACGAAAAAAAAAAAAAAAAAAAAAAACGACTGCCCCCTTTGTAACCAGCCCCCTGTTGCACTGTGCGCGAAGGAGGGCAGTGCAAAGGACAACATTGGGTGGTACAGTCCGTGGGCATTGGTAACACTCCCACACCCCCTTGGATCATTGGCTGCAGTCCGCCAACCCCCCTCCTTCCTTCCTCCCCTCCCTCCTTCTTTCCTTCCTTCCCCCCCCCCCCCCCCCCCCCCCTTCCGCTCTTTTCTTACCTCTTGCTGGCGGCCATCCCCGTCCGTCTCTTCGTCTTCTTCTTCTCGTCCTTGTCTCCCTCCACCGCGCTACCTCCCCATACGCTCTCTTTCCTCATCGACCCAAATAGGAATATCACTTCAAACACGATACGCAATGACAAGCGGGAGCCTCAAGAACCAGCGCGACGGTCTGTCGTCTGCAGAGCTCGGACAGGCCAATCCATTGCACTCGATAGATGAATCGGAAACAGCGGCCCTTTTGAACGACCGACCTCGCGCCTCTGCTAATAGTGCCAGCAAGCGGCCGAGCTCAAAGAGGGTCCTGCCTGAGCATGCAAGGAAAACCATTATTGTCATGCTCATCTCCATCTCTGGCATCCTCGTCATCCTCCTGGCTGTCACCTTGGTCTTCAAGGTCGGCAGCGCACCAAGTATGGCATCCGTCTTGTTGCACACCGTCTTCAATGACTCTTGAACTAAGTTGGCGAAGAGTATGGCCTGGCTTTAACTTACAATTTCCCTACTCAAATTGCTGCCAGTCATTGAAAAGAACCCACCGGTGCTGATCAAGGCCAAGTATGGAGCTGTTGCTGCGGAGGAGATCCATTGTTCAGAGATTGGTGTGGAAGGTATATATTAGGCATGGGCATGGGAAATATTCGTTAGTCTATGTTGACGCCAATTGATGTGAGCAGTCAACTAACCTTTTCGTTTTCTATGCTATGGATAATGCCCCAAACCGTCCATTTCACACCCCGCATCGTATCGACCTCTCCCTTGCATAGTTTTAAAAGAGGGAGGAAATGCCGTGGATGCGGCTATCGCCTCATGTCTCTGCATCGGTACTGTGAACTCTTTCTCCGCCGGCATCGGTGGAGGAGGATTTATGGCCATCCGCCTTCCCAACGGCACAGTCGAGATTATCGATTTCCGAGAGACGGCCCCCGCTGCGTCTTACCTGACCATGTTCAAGAAAGATCCCATCCTCGCGCAGCGTGGTGGACTCTCTGTAGCCGTGCCTGGCGAGATACGTGGACTTGAACTCGCTCATAAGCGATATGGCAAGTTACCATGGGAAAGACTGTTTGCTCCATCGGTCAGGATGGCGAGAGAAGGGTGGACTGTTGGGCCCGAACTGGCGCGCCGAATCCAACTGGTGAAAGAGATGATGGAGACAGAGCCTGACTGGTCTCGTGTCTTTGCAGCGGACGGTCTGGCACTGAGAGAAGGACAGCTGATTAAGCGAGAGGCACTCGCGAATACATTGGAGGCCATTGGAAAAGAGGGGGCGGATGTATTTTATACAGGAGAGATTGCCAAGATGATCGTCGACCATGTGCAAGAACACGGAGGGATTTTGACGATGCAGGATATGAAGGACTACAGGCCGTTAGTCAAGAAGCCGATGGTAGGCTATTACCAGGGACGTAAGATTTACACCTCGCCAGCACCGACCAGTGGGCCAGCTCTGATCAGCATTTTGAACATCTTGGAGCGCTACAATGTGGGCAAGGTCAAGGACGATGCCAACCTGGACACGCATCGCCTTATTGAAGCCATGAAATGTAAGCGTCTGATAATCGCAAAACATGCATGCTACGTTGAAATGGTACGGCGTTGAGGTGGCTGACACTTCAAGCCTCTCTCCCTTGCATAGTCGGATTTGCACAAAGAACCGAGCTTGGCGATCCAGATTTCACAGACCTTGAAGCCAAGATTGAGAATATGATGTCGAAGGACACGGCCGCTCAGATCCGTGCCAATATCTCCGACACGCGCACTTTCCCTGTGGAGTACTACAATCCGCACTGGGGTGCGATCGACAACCATGGTACAACACATCTCTCAGCTGTGGACAAGGACGACATGTCCGTAGCATTGACTTCGACTGTCAACTTGTTATTCGGGTCAAAGCTAATGGATCCAAAGTCCGGTGTGATCTTGAACGACGAGATGGATGACTTTTCAATCCCGGGTCGGGCCAATGCGTTTGGACTGCAGCCCTCGCCCTACAACTATCCTGAGCCTGGAAAGAGGCCTCTGTCGTCGTGTGTGCCGACGATTGTTGAGAAGGACGGGCGGTTCGAGATGGCTCTTGGTGGAAGCGGAGGATCTAGGATTTTGACTGCAGTACTTCAGGTACAAACCGCGCTTTTGTTTTATCTGCCACGTGGGATTTCATGCATTTCAATTAATGGACACTCTTTTTTAAATATATGTCAGACCATGTTGAACGTGTACAACCACGACATGAATATCATGGATGCGATTGAGGGCCCTCGCATTCACCACCAGCTAATGCCTAATGTTGTGGATATCGAGGCCGGGTATTCGACAACAGAGATTGCATTCCTAAGAGGAATTGGACATAACGTTACCATCTTTGATCGTGCTTTGGCCAAGGCTGAGGTGCAGGCTGTGATACGAGAGACCGATGGGTACATCTACGCGTCAAGCGATACGAGGAAGCACGCCATTGCAGCCGGATACTGATGGACGATCTGCTTTAATACTTTGACATGCACAGGGAGCGAAGATGCAGCCAACTAATGCAGTAAAACTTATCCATACTACCGCTGCGATTAATAGCACGAACAGGAAAAAGAAATATGTATAGCCATGCTACTACTGTTTTATTGTTTGTTGCATAAATGAGAGCATTCTCGTGCTCTATCATCCACGCTCGTAGAACAGGGTATTGTGTTCACATACTCAAATCTCATCATCTGCTTTTGGAGACACAGGACTGGCGGGATGGACATGGTGTGGTCCTTCTTCTGTAGAGCTGACCTGTAGAAGATGACAAGGTCTCTGTTCGTGTGCCCTACCCGTGCAGACTGTCAGCAGAAGGAGCAGAAGACGGCGTGCAGGATAGACCATAGTCGATGCTGTCCAGGGTGTGCGTGCTTCGTGCTTCGTGCTTTGTGCTTCGTGTTTTGTGAGGTTGGAGGGAAAAAAAAAAGGAAGACACGCACCCATGTGCTGTATTCGGTTTTCCCTCCCTTTCTCTCCCTATGAAAAAAACAATAATAACAGCGTGCTGGTCACGTCGAAACAGAAACCTTCTCTTCGCACCCTGTGCCCCATCCTTCCTCTTCTCCTTCTTCTCCTTCAGCTTCTTCCATCAACATCTGCCATCACCCCATCCGCATCCACACCCTCACCCTGACTATCCTTACACACAAGAACCCGCCTGCAATGGATAAGCCCATCAATGGCGACAAGTATATTCGCACGCTTTCGCACTACCTCCGCTCCAACCAACGGCGACTTCTACCTCCCACGTTGGCCCCGCCGCAAGAAGCCCCAGAGAATGCCACCAAAGCTACTTCAGTCGCCTCAGTAGCAGCCGCCAATGCCCGCCCTTTCCTCACCCCAGGAGACCCCATGGCCGCGGCCTACCAGGGCATGGTCTCGTCCCTCTGGAACGCTACCTCCGCCGTCGTCAACTCCATCGCCCCTGCCTCGCTCATCGGCGACGACTCAAAACCGCGTGGAGCCGACAGAGATATCTACAACGGGTCATGGGACGGCACAAGCGCCATCCTTCCAGACTCCAATCCAGCTGAAATCCAGCTCTACCAGCAGGCTCAGCTACGCGCCCCTATCTTCCCCTTGGATCTGTATTATCTCCTCTATCTGCTCGAGCGGTTTGAGCAGGTCGGCATCGAATTTGAGGGATGGGAGGGAACCACATCAAGTACTGTTGGAGATTCTAAACCCCGCGTTATTCCTTCAGCAGGACAGGGTGCGAAAACAGGAAGTGGCATCCTGAACCCTGCGAGTAATTTGTTATTTCCGCCGTCAAAGATACCCACAACAGGTGGTGGTGGCACTGGAACAGCAGGAGCAGGAGGAGAGGCTTCGACACGGCCACAGTCTATCCGTTCGTTTTCATCGACGGCAGTCTCCACTCTCACGCTGATCACTGGATGGAAGCAATGGTCGACCGCGGCATCCTTCAACTCAAGCAGCCTGACCGTCACGGATGATATCCACTTTATTCGCAAGTTTCTGAAACACGTCCCAAGTCTACGTCTGGTTGCCAAGATCCCTCCGGGGGATCACATCCGGGGCAAGGGCAGGATTGAGGGCTTCAATGCAGATACGATCCTTACGCTACTCAACCATGGACAGTCCTTGGAGACGGATGGGGAGGCCACCAATAACAAGAAATCATTGCTACTGCTACCACTCTCAGCCACGTTTCCGGCCCTCACGCACCTGGAGCTGCACAAGATACCACCAGACTGCATCGAAGGATGGGAGACATTGATGAAGCAGTTGAGATCTTTGGTCATCATTCAGTCTGGGATCGAGGACGTGTACGATGTCATCGTCACTGCAGTCGTCAAGAGCGAGAAGAGACGTCGACTGAGGGTTTTACGGGAAAACAGTAGGGCAGTCCAGATCAAGGAGGAGCAACAGGAAGCGCTCAAGGACGCCGCGTTGACATCACAAGAACTTGGGTACAGTGTTACTGCGGAAAGAGGTGACAGTAGCGGCGATGGCAACGGTTCCAATGGTTCTGTTACACTTGCACAGGGGCGAGAGATCGAAGAAGATGATGCTATAATCCTGTCGTCACTAAAGATGTGGCCGGTCCTTCGCCACCTGTCCCTGTCCGACAACTCGTTTCCATCCTTAGCCCACAATGACACGTTTTCGCACACACAGTCCGTCACCAGCCTGGACCTTTCGCACAACCTCTTCCTCTCGCCACCCTCTGGGCTGATTCATTTGCACAACCTCAATCAACTCAACCTGTCGTACAACATGATCTCGGGTGTACAGTCCATCTACCAGATCCTGGGCAACATTTCTGTCCTGGACTTGCGCGGAAACCGTCTAGAGAGCCTTTCGGGACTAGAACGGCTTTGGAACCTAGAAAAGGTTGATGTTAGAGAGAATCATTTGGACGAGGCAGCTGAGGTTGGCCGACTGGCGGCTCTTCCTGGCATTCGTGAGGTCTGGTCTGAACGTAATCCTTTCTGTGCTATTCAGGTAGGGCGCTAGCGATGCTAAAAGATACCAAAACACGACGTCAAGCTGCGAGGACGCTCCACTTTAACTTGGGCCTGCATTTACTTTTCAATATTGTATAGCCCAAGTATCGTCTCGAGATATTAGTAGTCTTCAAAGCGAATGGACATGATCTGCTACTGGATGGATCCTTTGCCTCGTTTGTGGAGAAGCGTGCTCTCGCCAATATGAGCCCTTCATCCTTTTCGACGACCATCTCCAGCATCAACAACGTGGCTAATATACCCGCAGCCTCCGCACCCGTCGCTACATTCGCACAGGAACTCTCGCAAGGCCACGATAACCATAACCACTTACTTTCGCAATCCGTAGCGGAAGAGGCACTCAATGCTGCTACCTCTCCGGGTGTAGGGCCCAACGCACCTATCAACAAACTAGTCAAGAAGAAGCTAGTCAAGTCGACAAAACGCGTCAAGAGAGTCGTGAATCTGGATAGCGATCATGAGGACGAGCATCATAGTCTGGCGCATGCGGATGTGGACGTGAAGGATTTGGATGCACTGCATGACGATGAGGTCGCAGCAATTACAGCCAAGACGTCTGGAGCTGCCCTTGGGCCCTCGGCGGGTGTTAAGGAGAAGAAAAAGAAAAAGAAAAAGAGCACAAAATCAACGTCGTGGCCTACAAGTGAGTCGCCAGGCCAGGCTGAAGAGAACGGGCAAGCGGTAGACAACGCTAGTAGCAACGGACGTAACGGCCACGGAAAAGGAGACGAAAAGGAGTCCATCAAGGTCAAGAAGCGTGCGACAAAGAAGAACACGGGGGTTTCGAGCGTCAGCTTTGCGGGTGACGAGGCACAGGAACAACATGACTCGAATGAGGACCACACACTTTGTAAAGATGGACACCATGTGCACCGACACCGGCTTGCATCCCTCGAGCGGTCAATGACATCGCTGCAGCTCGAGCGTTCGGGCAATTCTGTGGGTGCAGGTGTGCATTCAACTTCAGCTCACCAACATGAACCTTCCAGGAAGATCCTGAAGAAGACGAGAACAATGCCCATGAACAGTGCGGTCTCGCCGAGGTTAAGACCTTCGTCGCCGATTGGATCGTTCTCCTCGGATGATGGTGGAGCGGACGGGTACAGGCGCAAAATCGAGGCCATGCGTAACGAGGCCGGAAAGAACTGGCTGATGGTGCTTGCAGAGATGGATGGGGACTCAACTCAGGGTCAGTGAGGTGGTTTTGTTTATCGGCTGGATATATATTACTATGCATAGCCTATGTACATATAGTCTTTATACGAGAAAGTAGCAATAATATGCGATCCGCAGCAGGAATTGCTCATTCAAGCTAGGACGGATAGATGGTTCAAATGGCGGTAGTATTGGGATCTAGGAGACTGCACAGACTAACGGTACCTCGACAAAATATAAGGGACGGTTTGGGCCCAAGCAAATCGCAGCCCAGTATGTCATTGGTCACTACACACAAGCGCAGCCGACCTGAGCTAGTGCTCACAACATGTAGCACATAGCACTTTGTTTGCGACATGAAGGTCCTTGTACCGCCAGTGTCCCCCAAACCGCTGCCAGTGCACATTGGCCGACCTGTCCATAGTGGGCTGGTGCGATGTTGTATAAAGGATCCGATGAGCCAATGACCATCCTCGCCTTCGTAGTCCATTCCAAGTCCAAGCCCACAGATATCACAGACGCCGTATAAATCACACGCACCGCACGCATGCATCGCAGATAGCACTTGCAGCAGCCGCTCCATCTGTTGCAGTTCCGGAACAGGTTACCTTTTGAACATTTGCTTTATTGAACATTCGATTCACTGACCTTACGTCTCTGAAGAAGACAAAGAAAAGAGAAAGAGGAAAAAGAAAGAAGAGAGGAAGGAAGAAAGGAACCATACTCACTCGCCTATCGACCGGTGAAAACTGTCATCACTGCAGGCTGCAGCAGAAAGAATGAGACTGAGTCGCCTTTACACCTTGATAAAGAACGATAGAAAGCAGCGATACAAAGGTATTTGGCCACTGATCTGTCGAGGACACGAGATTATACAAAGCAACTGCGTAGCCTAGCCTGAACAGTGGCATCCTCGTTATCGCTGCAGCTGCTCCTCTCTCTGTCACTCAGAAAGATGATAGCATGCTGCTAACGGGCCATTGCAAGCAAGCAAGCAAGCAAGCAAGCGTGAACGAGCACCAAATGAGATCAGTGACCAGAATAAATGAGATTTGAACGCATTTTATTTTATTCTTGGTCGTTTCCATGGGGCCCCCGTGAATCACAACGAATAACGATGATCTCAAGGTGGCCGCACACAATCGTAATATAACCAAGCATCGATTGACCTTTCCGACGCCGCCCTTCGTTCTCACTCCAATCCCAGTCCCATATTTGCTTTTTGATGGAATAAGAAGTAGAACGTCTCGGAGGACGTTGCCAAAAATTGGGTCGACCCAGACAGCGAGCCGGAGCAAGCCCCGTTTGAATAACTCTCTGCCCTAATAGGCCGACCACGTAATAGGGTCTTTTCACAACAAAAAGCACTCCAAGCATTCGAAAAAAATAAAAAAGAATGCCCGGAACTTTTCTGGTTCAAGACAACTATTCCTCTTTAACAGAGTCCAGCGCTGACAACTCTCGGAAATGTCCTCATGAAGTTGCCATCACCATTTCTAGTTGTCCCAGATCGTTCTCGGTTCTTTACTTTTTCCTCGGCACATGTCCTTTAATGCGAAAAGGCAGTTTGTGTGATGGTCTTTTTTCTAAGGATCGAGCAAAGATCGCCGCCACGAAAATTTTTATATGAGCACGCCTGCCGTTAAAGCCTGGCATTTTGACCGCAGCAGTAGACGTCATTTTGGATAGGATATACTCAATAATTCAACTCACTCAACCGCGCCCAGTTCTACACGTTCACTCATCATAACCTACCCCGCCCTAACTCAGCATTTGCCCATTCCACTCATTCACACGCAAAGGCGACTGGAAGATAGGCGCGCGAGCATAAGAACGGCAGTGGGCACAGGACACAGCGTCGAGGGATACTAGCCATGAACGACTCCGAGGAACTCGCGGAGAAGTACCACAAACTCTTTCAGGACTACACAAAGTATGGACAGAGGAGCACGCGACGACAGACTAGAGTCATGTCATTCTGAGATCGAAGCACTCCTAATACTCGCATTGATATCTTCTGCATGCCCTCATCTGGACCTCCTCAAACAGAATCAAAGCACAGCATCTCGTTCTGAGGAACAAGTTTCAAAAAGTAAGGCGGACGATCGTTACTTGAGCCAGGCGATTGGTACACCCATTTGCATCCAAGTGACGCCGCTGACTCTCCCATGTACTTTAATGCTTCGGAACAATTTAGGAGCAAACGGAAAATGCAGCAATCCAAGCAGCCCTGAAAGAAAAGGAGCAAGAAGTGAGAAAGGTACAGGATGATCGAAGCTCAACAGTATGATACGTAGTATCTCTGGCCAAAGGTCTATAATCTGATGATATTTCTCGACGGCTTTTGGCCATTGTGCTGTACACTTTTTAAAAAAAAAAAAATTAGTCGCTCCAAGATCTGGATCTGCTTTCTTTTCATAATCAGCGGCTGACGAAACGCATCGAGAACTTGCAGAATCAGGCATCAGCAGTATGTACTCTCCCAACTGTTATTACATTTTCAGTCCTGTCTTACTTGAGTAAATGCGACTCTGAAGTCATTTCTGAAATTCGACCGCTCTTATACGATAGAAACCAGGAGGGTCATGGTTAATGGGTGGCGCATCCGTCAAGAAGGAACTAGAGAAGTCACAGTCGACACTCGAGGCCGCCACGATAGATCTCCAGGCAAAGATTGAGGAGAATGGTACAGCTTCATAACCTTTGCATCTCTGAACTGAAGAGATTTTTTTATGATTTTGTGGATTTGTGGATCCGACCTGACAATCCCGCCATGGCACCTGGATTATATGAATAGAGAAATTGCATCAACAGCTGTATGAGATCAATGCATTATACCCCAGGCATGTCACGGAGCTCCAGGGCAAGATTCAGGCATTGGAAAAGCAGAATCAGGAGCTGCAGGTATTTTAATGGAGCAATCGCATGAGACTTGGTCACCAGAAATATCCAGGCTAGGAACTGACATGTTCTTTTTATCCCCTTTGTCCTTAGTTGGATGTTGAACGTGCAGGAGTGGCCAACGAGGACACGATTAATTTGATACGCAAGGAAAAGGATGCCATTGAAAAGGAGCTGGGACTCATTCGGGATGTTCTTGCAGGGTACGTCTTTCAACGCCAAGGCTCATCAGACATCGAATCAAAATGCAAATTGCGCTATCATTACTTATAAGCATCCTTTATCTTTTGCTTCCATAAAAAAAAGGGAACTTAAGGATGAGCAGCGGGCAAACCAATCTCTGCGCGATAATGTCCAGCGCCTCGAGACTGAAATCGAACGACTTTCGAAGGCCGAACTCGAGCTAGAGACCCTTCAGGCAGAACATTCGAAACTCCACAGCGAACTTGAGACTTTCAAGTGGATTTCGACCGAGCTCTCGCAGCTTCAGCAATCCTACAACGCTCTCGAGCGGGACAAAGCACAGCTTGAAAAAGCCCACGCACAGCTCTCACAACAGCACGCAACGCTCAAACAGGCGGATGAGAACTTAAAGAGAGCTTTGGTGCAGGAACAACAGAATCTGAAGGCAGCTCAGGAACAAAACGGCCAGCTGAACAGAGATTTGGAACTAGCACGTGGGCAGGCTACAGAGCAGGAACGTGGGCATATCAATCGCATCGGACAGCTGGAGTCGGAATTAGGAAAAGTCAAAACAGAGCAGGAACAGCTCCAGTCACAGTACGAGCAACTGAAGGCGGCTGAACAGTCTGCGAAAGAGGGCGAGTCCCGCACAAAGGCTGATCTTGCCAAGGATCTTTCAGAAATGAAGTCGAATCTGGAGAACACAGAGACGAGAGTCAAGGAGCTTGAACAACTCAAGAAAACGCTTGAAGAAGAGCTGGAAGAAACGAAGAAATCGTTAGAGGAAACGAGGACCAGTCTGGCCGCTGAGCAGGATCGGAGGAAGGCCGCGGAAGCTGCAAGTGCTGAGAAGGCCTCGGCCAAGAGGGAGGAAAGCAAAGTCGAAGACGATTCGAAGATGGCAGAAACCGAGGACGACCATGCCATGGAGGAGGAGACAACGGAGAAGGAGAAGGTACCGCTTTCAAAGAAGGCCAGGAAAAAAAAGGCCGCTGCCGCCGCTGCTGCGGCTGTTGTTGCTTCTGAGACAGCAGAGGGGTTGAGCAAGGATAGCACTGACCAGACTGAAACCAATGTCGAGGAAACGCAGGAAGGCAAGAACAAACAGGATACTAAGGAAAAGGAGGATGCAGAAGTAAAGGCTAAGGCCGAACTGGAAGCTGAGGAGCTCAAGCATAAAGAGCAGGAACTAGCGTGGAAGACTGCAGAGGAAGCCCTGAAGGCTGATATCGAAGGCCTCAAGGCACAGATCGAAGCAGTCCAGCTGTCGAGCACAAGCAAACAGGAAGAGCTGAGCGCGGCGCAAGGTAACGTAAAAATCATCCCCAACAGCTTCATTGCGGGACTACTAGGCAATTGTGGGTAATGACTAATCAGATATACATTTGTGCGCATTTTAGCTGCATTGGATAGTGCTGAGGATGATAAAGCCTCATTGTCGAGTTCGTTAGAGATGCATGTCGAGCTCACTCTTCAGTTGCAGCAGGAAGTCAATAAGCTGAAAACCGTTTTGGTAAAACCCACACCCAATATCAGGCACATTTGACGATGCGGCTCGTTTATAACTCGTTTCTGACGTCTTTATACTATTTCTATTGCAGGCCAAGAAACAAAAATATAGAGCAAATGGGGCCGTCGCAAGCGACACATCTTATGCAGGCGAGGAAGCACTGATAAGGACGCAGCACAAGGATATAAACGGAAAGAATGGTGATCATACACCCCAGCGCGCCATGAATAGTCCGAAGGACGAGTCGACACAAGTGGATAGGGTCGACTCTTCAGATAAAGCTGTTCAGTCAGACCATGTCGAATTAATAGATGAGGGCACGCAGGCAGATTTGACAGAGACGGCAGCCGTTCCTACCATTGCAGACGACTCGAAGGAAATCGCGGAGAGCAAGGACGGTAAGGACAGGGAGATGAGCGCTTCAGCTGGACGGCCGATCGACAACAAGCCCTCACGGCGGTCGATGATCGGGGACGAGATGGATGGTGCGACGACGGCGTCTGCGAATGTGAACGCAAGTACGACAAATCAATCGAACCGCGAGTATCTGATCAAGAAGCACTATGAGACCAAGATACAGAATGTCACGGAACAGTTACAGTTCTCGGACGGGCGGTATGTGCGACTTCACAAAGAGTTTGAACTATTGAAGGAGCTGTTGCTGGAGACCGTGCAAGATAAAGAGAATGCGATTAAGGAATCTGAACAGCTCAAGCAACGAAACTTGCATCTGCAGGAGGAGTTGACGGTGGCCAAGGAGGATTATCGAGCGCAGGTAGAGACGATGACGAATTTTATGAAGAGCCTTGACCAAGGGCGATGATCCTTTGATCCTTGTGGCCAAATAAAATAAAAGTAGAAAAAATATTTGTCGCGTAACGAGCTTTTGATTTAAACACGTCACCCACAAAACGTGACAGACTGCCCGCGCAGCATCTTGGACGTGCCTGGACAATCGACACTCCTTCAACTCATCGCCCCACGCTCCCCCTCCCTCGCTCCTACCTCTCTCTCCTCGGCTTTTATTCACAGCGATAACTCTTCATCATGGTAAACGACCTGCAACACAGAAGAGGTTTCGACGCAGGAAAAGGAACCAACCTGGATACATCGCAGCAGGAAAAAAAAAAAAAAAGCTAACAAGGCATTTATGCATCTCTCCAACAACGACATCAGCTGGTTCTCGTAATAGGCGATCTTCATATTCCCAACAGGGCACACGACCTGCCTGCAAAGTTCAGGAAGCTGCTTGTAAGGAAAAATCCTCAAGGAGCTAATATCAGTGGCTCTACGCGCGCCAGTTTGGTACTAGGGTGTGTGTGACGAGTCAAAAGGCCGTACTTTCTCACCCATGAGCTCCAATTTGGCATTCGTGGCGATATAGGTCCCAGGAAAGATTCAGCAGATAATCTCTACAGGAAACATTTGCGACAAAGAGACGTTTGACTACCTCAGATCAGTTGCAGGAGATATCCAAGTTGTCAGAGGAGATTATGACCAGGTAACAAAATCAATACGGCCAGTTAGAGAGGACTCAAGGATGGCTGTTCTGAATCTATCTACCGGAGCAAATCTCTCTAATCAACATCCTTCCCTTCCTCTCGCTCTCTCTACGCCCCTTCCCTCGCTTGTGATTTCTCCAAACGCCTTCAGAACCCATCTTGGCCGCTTTCAAAGATCATCACGCACGGCCCAATTCGTATTGGTGTTGTACATGGACATCAGGTCATCCCCTGGGGCGATACCGAGGCTCTCAATATCACGGCGCGCCAGATGGACGTCGATATCTTACTCACCGGACACACACACAAGTTTGAGGCGTTTGAGCACGAGGGCAAATTCTTTGTCAACCCAGGGTCGGCCACTGGAGCGTACCATCCACAAATCGAGTACGCACTTCTAAGGTCTTGCCTTGTTTCGTTGAACAGGATTTACCTTCAAGATGCAGAAACTAACGTTTCCTAACATTGAAATTCTTCTTCATAGGGACGTGATACCGTCGTTTGTGCTGATGGACTTGCAAGGCTCGGTTGTGGTGCTCTATGTATATCAATTGATTGATGGCGAGGTTAAGGTCGAGAGGATCGAGTATCGAAAACCATTCGATAGCCGCGGCGTGTAAACCTCCAACATCGACTCTCCGTCCTCGTCCTTTCGCTACTTTACCACCAATCTCATACAAAAAATAAATAAAGATATATCGATTGAAGCTGCTGCAGTGATTCAGGGTACCAGTGAAAGTTAGCGAAAATCTCAATAACATGCTCCTCCTTGATCATTTTTATTATACATCTCAACCACGTCCTGACACGACCCTAGTTATTTAGTGTCCACGAGACAATCTCCTTGAGTAGCGAGAGTCCATAAAACTCTGCAATATTGTCAAATACTCTCATCTTCCGCAAGTACTCGGTCCTGCCCAGAACAGTGACGAACCGACCCGAGCACTCGCACCACTCCCCTAAGTGATCGGCCTTGACCCTCCTGCACTTGACGCACTTCAGATCCTGCATCTGGTACTGGTCCAACATCCTCTCCACAATCGCTACCATCGACTCTTCGATCGCCTCACGGTCGTATTCCTCCTTGCACTCCTGGCACCTCCACGCGCCTAGGATAACTTCGCCTGTATCCTTCTTGATCTTCGGCAATAAGTACGGATCGCGGCAAAAATCCAGATCCTGACAATAGTTGCAGTACGAACAAATCACCCCCCGAAGGACAAAACTTTCGCACGGGTTCTGAAAGATCGACTCGGGAGAGAACTCTCTGATCTCTATCAGATCTAACAAATTCTTGCGCATCACCCGGACTTCTCGCTCGATCGACGTGTCGATGCCAAATACGGCTGTGATAGACTTGATCAGCTCCAGCGCAGGATTCGTCATCTGAAGATGCGAGCCAGGCTGTCGAGGAAAAGCATACATGAAAGCAAGCTGCGGATCCTTAAGCGAGTCTCTCCTCTTGGCTAAAATCTCGGGAAAGACCTTCAGCAACCGTCTCGAAATGTGGTGCGATACCAACTTCTTCTTGAATGCGACTGCCTCGAGATTCTTCTTGTCCGCCTTGGTTCCCCCGTTCGTCAGCTTAGTGCCTTCGCCATCGTCATGTCCATTCACCGTACCATCTGCACCATTCACCGAACTCTTGGGCGTCACAAGCTGCTTCTGGTGCCGGAACTTGTACACCTGATCGATGAATTCTCCGATGGTCACCAGGAACTCTTGGTGAAGTGCCATAGGTAGATACTGCTGAATATTCCACTGCATATGGATATCTCGATTAGCCTGTGTCAAGAGCGTTGGTTGATCTTCTTCCTGGACCTCATCTGGGTTTGGACAAATGATTCCTCCATAGTTAGCGGAGTCCATCCAGAGCAATTGTTCCCAATAGTGGACCGGGATCAGATCCATCGTCATAAACAGTTGCTTGGATTGAATGTGGCGAATGATCCAGCTACAGTAGGCGTATGCGTTTCCGACAGACGCCTTGGACGTGGCGATCGTGAGTTTGTTGAAGTTGCCCAGGATAACGCGGGACCCCAGTCTCTTGAACTCCGAAACGAGCTGTAGGAACACCTTCTTCATCAGGCCGTGTACGAGTGCGTACATACATGGGTCATACAATTTTGAGCTCGAACTGGTCAGCCAGCGGTGGAAATGGCCCATCATGCTCTCCGCAAAGAAGTTTTGGGTCTCTGCTAACTCGATCGCCCAGCCCCTGACCATATTCTTGATGACTGCAAATGCTTGGGTCGAGGCGGTTCCTGTACCGAATGAAATAATGCTCGAAACCTTTCCAGAATTGTAATCATCCAGCGTATGAGACGCGTCCAACGCAGTCTCAGTCCCACCCTCGAGTTCATTAATCAGAGTCGACTGCAAAAGTGTGTTGACCGCCAAGTGAAGCACGTCCATTTCCAAGCATACAGTCTCATAGTGTCCTGGCACGTTGATGTTCGGATCCTGCAACTCTTCCATGCCAGACAAATTCTCGTCGTCCTCTCGACCACCTAGATCGGGTTTGCTCGAAGGAGACCACCACAGCAGCATGTCATGCCGCTGAAGTCGGCGTGCGAGCAGCACATCCGTCACAAAGATGGGCGAGTCCTGCTCGATATTGCAGAGAGGCACATCCGCGTACCGTGCCAATGCGATCTGCTCCGTGACCCATCCCCCCACCGTCAAAAACTGGGCCAACATACGCTTTGTTGCGTTAGTCTGCCACGCAAGTGCCTGAAATGGCTTTGTACTCTTGGAACATGGCATAGAAATCAGCGGAAATTCTGCTAGGATACTCATGCTCTCAAGCAGCTTCTGCTTGGGTCTTGGTGAATGTAAAATGACCGCAGTGGGTCCGCGGCGTTCGTCCTGGTACTTACTCAAACACTTGACCAGACCTTTAAACGCAGCCTTCTCGTTCGTCACGTACTCGACATCGAACTGGAGCTGGCCAAAATAATCCCAGGCCTTGTTGGTTCTGCGAGTTGATGTCGGCATCTTCTCGATCTCAGCCTTGACCGCCTCATAAGTCCTGGACATATTCGGCATCTGCCCTTTTTGTCCTGGTGCATCAACGACAAAGACAAAGACACGGTTGTGGACTGAAGAGTAGAGGGCAAGAAGGTGTCGGGTATCCGTAGTAGCGTGATATAAATAAAGGTAGTGAAGCGACCGGTCCTCCTGCAGATACGGCATCTTGTCCATGTTTTCTGCCTTGAGATCAGCCAGCTCGAATCCCTCGTCCAGTCCACGTTTGGCACGGTTGCTGACCGAACAGACACAGCTCAAGTTGATGATGGCGCGGTAGAGGAGCGGTAGCTGCGTCTCATAAACACCCTCCACGTCGGGATGACTGAAAAAGCTGGACAAGTTTTTAGATTCTCTTTGATAGAGGTTCTCCGACATGGTGAACTGGTACAAATGTAGGCACGAATGGGCACGGGGCAGCGTTCGAACCAGCTTTTGTTTCGGGAACAATCTTGTCTCGTTGTTGGTGTCCTCGACTCTACTGTTCACATAAAAGATGCGGGGGACCGATAGTCGGATGGAATGCAATGTCTTATCAATCAGAATCCAAAGCCTGAACTCTCCAGGAATCTCTGTCTCGACAATCTGGATGATCTGCCAGAACTTGGTCAAGATGTTGGTAGACTGCTGCTGAATGAACCCTGAGAGCGATCCCGCAGGACCCTTGGCTCGAGATTGTCCCAATGCCTTTCGCTGAGCTCGCTCAAGTCGCTGTCGCTTCCACTTGATCTTCTGGTAGGCCAAGAATCCATGATAATCTATCAGCATGTCTGGCATCTCCTCAGGCAACTCAAGCTCCAAGACCTGTGCTTCGATCGATTTTTGTTCCTTCTGTCGTCTCTTGTCCTTGGTACTCTTCATGATCTTGTGGACTACAGGACGCGATAGTCCTCCCATGCTTGTCGAACCAAAGTCCTCCAGATCCATGACTCCATCGCCGCCATATGCTCTCTTCTCTGCAGGTTTGAAGGCGTCAGTGATACGGTGTTGCTTGAACTTATCGTCCATTGCCATGACACGCTTGAACAGCCAGTCGGGATGTCGAACACGAGGCACCGGGTTGGTGACTTTTTGCATGGCTGCGGGAATGGTAATCAACTTTTGGATGACTCCGCCGAATCGCTCTAAATAGTAGTGCCAGTCCAGGATCGATCGGATATCAAAGTCCTGCAAGCTGCTGTCCTTTAGCCATTTCCTTAGATAAAACTTCATCACTGCTGGTTCGGCCGAGAAAATGGCGACCGGAATGGCTCTCTCCGTTACGGGACTGCCAGCAGGCTGTGCCGCAATAATGAATTTGCAGTTCAGTCCTTTGTCCTTGACCATCTGATCACCCAAAAACTCTCCTAGACGCTTTGCTGTGCTAATGGCGGTCGATTTCTGTGCACCGTATTCCTCTAGAGATTTGGACATGTTCCTGTTCTCCGAAATCAGATCAAACAGCTCGTCTTCCTCTAGATCCACGGCCTTGCTGTACAGAACATCGAGCCATTGATTCGCCACCCTTGCCACAGCCGCATAACACTCCTCGAGATCCGATCCTTCCAAGAAGACTTTGAACAGCTGCGACTGGAAATTTTTGATCATCTTGAGCTCTCCACGACGCTTGATCTCGAAACCCTTCAACTCGGCAATTGATCCGTCCTTGTTGAACACGGCATAGCGTTTCTTGAGCAGTTTGTCCTCTTCTTTGGACGAGGGCAAGATCATGGCGTGGTAGGGACCATCGACTTCGAAGAAAATACTGTTCTCCTCGATCGTCTCGTACTCGTGCTCCTCGGGGTTGCTGAGGACCTTGTACTGCTTGTTTGTGAACTTGTCGTGGACCAGATGGTTCAGCATGGTACAGGGGTATGAGATTGGGAACTTCTTGCCGTTCTTGAGCTTGAACGCAAAATTCTCAGGGAATGTCTGCGGAAAAATGCACCAAATGCCGTCCGTATCCAACTCAAGAGGTCGCCCCATCTGCTCGACAAGCTGACGCGCCAGCTGAATGATCCTAGCACCCGTCAGACACACAATCCCCGCCATCTCCATCGAGTACCATCGGGCTCCCTTTCGCATAACGTATCCGTAAAACGAGTTCAAAATACACTTGTGCGCTAGCTGCAGAGAGTCGTACAGCACGACCATCTTCTTAGCATTCTCGATCTCGACTAGGTCTCCAGAGGCAAGGGCTGTCTCCACGTTCCCTTTCCATTTCTTGTGCAGGCCCTTATATTCGTATCGGCGGTCACGAAAGGCCTTGACAGTATCGACATAGAACGGGTTCTCCCTCTGGCAGACAACAGCTTCTCTTTCCATGACCTTGGTCTCGTGGGTCTTGCGATAAACCTTTCTCGAGTACTCGGCGATACGTTTCTTGATCAGTAATGCTTGCTCCGACTCTGGAAGATTATGGAATGACAGCGGTTCGTCCCAAGATTTCTTTCCAGGGAAGCGTTCGGCCTCCAGCTGGTTTCTGATCATGTTGTACTCGCTCTTCTTGGCTGGGAAGTATTCTCCGCGCCAGGACCAGGTCATACGTCGGTCACAGTCTTTCCCGACCTTGTTGAAGTCGCAAGCGGCACAAGTGGACTCCTCCACGATTGAATCTGGCTGCAGTCGGTTGGTCAGAATAATATTTGGATACATGGCGGCGACATCCAAGTGATAAATACTGGGATTCTCCGTGCGATTTGGCCGATCTCTCAGGTCCATGAGTGGTGCGGCAATGGCTGCTTTGACCTGTGGCACAATAAAGACGGGTCAATCAAACAACCTTACTCATTACTACGTTGGATATGACATACGTAGCACGGCAATCAGCGCACATACCTCCTCGTAATTGGTCACGTCGCCCAAGCTAAGTTGACCCTCGACTTCAATACTGAACTTCAAGGCCGCATCTAAATCGTCGATCAGCTTCTGGGCAGTCTCGGGGACAATACTGAATTGATTGGGAATGTCACTTCTGTATACGCCTGCTTGCAAGGCCTCCACGTGCCCTCCGACATACGTCTCGCTCTCCAGTAGATGTCCATCATGCATCTTGTTATAGGACTCTGTATGCTTGTTGGGCATAATGATGTTGCCTTGGTATGCCTCGACCTACACAGGATAATAAAAACAAGTGCCGATCAGTTTGCAGTACAGTACCTCATAAAACTGTACATAGGATGGAGGCAAGTGAAAATAGCGTACCATGAGCAAAGTCTCGCAGAGTGTTCCTGAACCCTTTCTCAAGACCTCGTCCGGATTCATCGGGATAATGTTGCACAGCGAGAAAATGAAAGGGTGAACGTACTTCATGTACAAGTAATAGGTGGCAACGGCATCAGAAACTGAGTACTGGGCCAATGTCTGCGGCCGCTCGCTTGCAAATCGTGTCATGTCTTCTGGGTCTAGCTCCATTGGATTGTAGCCCAACTTTTCCTTAGTGACCGACTTCAGACCCTGACTACCCATGGGGAGATAAGAATCACGTTTCACCCATCGAAAGGCATCCATGTGGACAGCTGTGTTGGATTTGTATTCGTCCTCGTCGTCCTTCTTGACACCAATTTCCTGTAGGAATAGAGGTATGAGTACCTGTATTAGTTATCGCCTTTGATGGCTTCAATTATATCCATGATGATCAACAGTAATTGAAAGCAAGGCCCCCTACATGGAACATGTCGATGCCATGAATCTTGGCTCTTGTTTCCATAAACGGCCAATCGAAAAAGTCTCCGTTGTATGTGACAAACACGGTGGGCTTGGCTTCCTGGACGTGGTGGAAGAACCGCCGAAGACACTCTTCCTGCACTCACAAAAGAAGGAAAAATATTTGTCAGATTTCTGCATAAAACGTTCGAGAAGTGCCGTCTCGTGTTAAAACATCGACCTTTTCAGGTCGTACCTCAGTAGGCTCGTTGAAAATTGTAAACAAGCCCTCGTATTCAGGCTTGGGGGTATATTCAAAGTCATCAATATCTTGAGAAACTACTTCGCGATTTGTGATCAAGAAGCCCTACAGCGTGCAGCAGTAGAAAATCAGAATTTCAGTACATTATTGCTACGACGATAAATGATCCTTGTCCTGAATCCTTAGATGAACAACGATCGCCGTTACATACCTGTCCGTCAATCATATATGAAATCATCATCACGGAGTCAATTGCCGCATCAGGAAACTTGAGCGGCAATTTTGTCGTCTCGATATCGAATGCAAAAACGACTGGATCCGCACGAGCAACCCTGTCCATCTGCCGCTTGATTTCCACATCTGTTGGCGTTACTTTAACTGTGTACCACAGACCAATACGAATGTCTAAAGGGTTACCCATCGATAAGAAACAAAACCAAGTGGTATGTGTAAGAATGGCAGTAATAACGGATTCAAAGTATGGTTGTAGCAAGCGATTGCTTTCGGTATCTGTTACCTTTGTCAATAGCCACACGGATAGTATATGGAACATCATATTCGCGAATGTCCACGATATTATCCAGCCCATCGCCTCCTCCGGCCCTTGATGCAATGGGTTCGTGGTCCATATCTGCTGATGCACTAATAACCTCCGCATATGTATCCAGAGCTGACATTTTCGCTTGATTGGCCTTGGCTGCTGGAAGAATAATTTTGCGTACAGAGAGCAGATCACGTACATTTCTGAATGCCAATTTGATGAGCGTGCGAGTGTTCCCAAGAAGGTGGTTTGGCTAGTGGAGAAAGAATGGCAGTATCTCATCAGAATCCTATTTTATGGCATTACGACGGTGTCGAATGCGTTGTACCTGTGATGAATGTTCGGCTGTCCTACCAAGTCCAGATCTTCCTTTTGTACTCTAGACATCTTCTCGACTGTGCTCTCAAACTTCCTGCGGATGTACTCCTCGACATCTCCTTCGAGTCCAACCTAATATTTGGATAAAAGTATATAGATCAAAGTTGGTTAGTGCCTTGATTATGGCAACAAAAAGACATCCTTTATTGTCAACTCTTCAGGCCCAGCAATGGGTTCAAAGACAAGCATACCTTAGGTGCAATGTAGAAGTATGGACTATACTTCACAGTCGTCTTAAACATCTCTCCGTCATCCTGAATAAAGTAGTAGTCGATTGCCGATCGACCCGTTGGCCAATCCTCGTCCTTTACGAGTGTCTATACAGTTCAATAAAGAGTCGCCCATCTGCGAATTAGCCTTAGGCATTCAGCAATTCCAACGAAAATTGGTCTGAACCAAAGCAGGAGTCCCGTCCATACCGCATGCTGATTAATAAGCCAGCCCAACTTCTCGGGTCCCTCCTGGAACTTGAAGAATCCCAGCTTCTCATCAATTTCATCCTGCAATGCCACGTCGTCGAACCGTTGCTCAATATGTGTTCCCTCGTCCCCTGTTGCTACAAAGGGCTGCGCAGACTGTGCAGATGGTGCTCTGTATACTTTGCCTCCTCGTCCACCACCTCGGCCGCCTCGACCACGGGATGCGCCACCACGGGCAGAAGGCGGCATAAGGCCGAATGTGGTCTTTTTGAATCCCATTGCTGTCTTCTGCTGGTTGTTATCCCGGTTGAATGAGTTATTAATACGGCATATAATAAAAAGGAAAGAAAAGAAAGGAATGAGAGTCCGAAGATGGAGCAGAAGATTAGCAGGGCGGTTTAGTAAACACAGCTCAGACGCGACGGTGTATAGAACGCGTCCTGTGATTGTTTTGAATTCGTGAACACAGTCCCGGCAATTTATCGATTCAGGAACGGGCGAAGCATGACCATGTTGTGTTACATTTCAGGGTAGACGTTTATTACTATTTAAAGGGCTGCAATGAGAGCGATGAGATTTTAACAAAGGGATTATGACGAAAGGGCAAGGATTAGGCCGTCCAGATAGCTCGAGTCACCTTCACCCTGTCGCAAGTCTGCAACATCCCCACTCCGGGTGGCATATCCTCGAGCCGCATTCGAGCTGACCACGACCCTCAGGCTCTTGGCTAAAAATTCTCTGCTTCGGTTGAACTCGTGCTCAATTTCCTGTAATTGTTGTTTAAACGAACTTTGATGATTCCAGTTCTTCCGACTTGACGGTTTATGGTCCTGTGGATGATACATCTGATACGTCAAGCCTGGCTGCGCTAATCCAGAAAACTCTGTGCCGACCTTGGGTCTCTTGACGCGACTAGTTCCCTCTCCAGCATCCATTTCTATGTCCTCATCGTTGTCCAAATAATCGGCATCGCCTTCATCGCCAAAGAAAATGTGTGGAGGACTCATCTTTCTCTTGTCGGCTCCACCGACAGATTTCTCTTCGTCTCCATCGTGTTGTTGATCCAAGAATTCACTATCGGAATCTGTGCTTATCCCCTCGTCGCCCCCATGAAAATTGCTGCGCCACGATGGAGCGCTCTGCATCGTATTGAAACTCACTCTCCGCCCGCTCCGACCTACGTGACCTTGAGTAGGCAATGGTATACTTTGTAGTCCCCCCGGCTGTCGGAACTCCAGCTCTTGCTCGTGGATAAACGCCGAGAACAGCGCCGAGAACTTGAGAGCGAGGTTCAACATCGTTACAAGAGACCGATATAGGGGTATCGTCCGCTCCTTCAAAAAACAGCGTTCGTAGCACAGATTAATGAACCGCTGTGATAACTTGATGATATCGTCAAGATCGCATTGTTCTTCAATCTCGGCTTGGAATTTCTGGATCTGTACATCCAAAACCTAAATATGTTTCAGGAATGGTTCAAGAACACCTTAGGTTAGGTCCAAAACCACCCAGCATCTACATTGCCGATATTAAACATTTGCTCCCGCTTACAGTCATCATGAAATAGCTCCAGAGATCATTCATTGCGCTTAAGAATCGCAGCCTCAATTTCCAAAACAAGCCAAGTTCAGAGCTTGGCCGTGGCCTCGACTTGAGGAATGAAGGCAGCTCCATCGCATGCTTTGCGATCTTAACCTGCAGCAGCAAGCAAGAGATGCGGTTATACATATACTTTACGTTTTCTGATGAATAAACCACACCCCCTAGCGGCCATGGAAGCTGAAAGAAGAAACCGCACTTGTTAGCTGAGCTACTCCGCGGATCATAAGGATAGCCAAAAGTTCTATTTCAGCATCAAGCTTTGCGAGCGTACCAGATATTCGAATTCGATGTTGTCTAGTATCTGGACTTTGAGGCCAGGCAAGTGTGTCTGAGATGTCTTTTGTCTGTGCTGATCATTCACCCGGATTTTCACAAACTTAGCGTGGCTCCAGTTCCCGAGCGATGCAATGTTACTGAATGTAGATCCTAACACATAAGAGTCATACCATGGTCTTTTCCGTTCCATCTATATATGGGAAATGCAATCCAGACAGCATGTTATTCATAGATCAAATCGTGCACCCGTACACTGAGAATGAAGAAGCCTACCTTGCTGAAAATAGTTGCGCTAAACGTGTGCATCACTTCGCCCTGCATCATGAAATAAAACTCGGTCATGCCTTTCAGATGCCATAACAATCGCGACTGCGTAAATAGCATGGACTTAAGCAAAGAATTGGCCGCCAAGTACTGTTCCTCGATAGATTTAGCGAGTTCAAACTCCATTCTCCACTTGAACCCGACAGTTGCGCTGTAATTGGTTGGATCCGGCGCTTCGACTATCGAATGTATCGAGGACGGCGTCGATGACAGCGGGTATTGATGCGATAATATAATTTCGTATCTGGGAAAGTTTCTCTGGAAATAGTTTTCCAGCCTTGAAGTGCCTGGGCCAATCGACGCGCGCTTTTGAAATATTTTGCAAAAAACGCTTGATGCGAATGATTCTATTTGGGGTAATGGAACAACCTAGAAATGAAAATAGGGTTAAGCAAACACGCTATACAAAGTACCAGAAAGAAGAAACACTGAATGCAATGTCAAGGTACCTCTGTAGCCAATAGCGCCTGGGTAATCCGAACGGCTTTTCCGGTGTATATTATTTGTTTAAGAGACACTTCCGTCAAGAAACAAGGCGATATTTGCAGCGTTGATGCGCTGTTGCTGCCGTCGCCAGCATGATCCACGATTTCTGTACGGATATGATAGCCATCAGACCAGAATGCGCTGGAAAAGAGGTCGATATTTGAAGTTCTATATGTTGAGAGAGAAAGACACATTAGTGTCTGATATTGAAAGCATGGCCAAGATAGGATCATGGGCTGACTTACGCCTGTATCAGGAACTCAGATTCAGAGTCGAGCGGCAGTCCAGACAGCCAAAACTCGACGTTGAGTAGAAATGGCCGGATGCTCCGTTCAAGTAACCGAAGGAATGGCCTAGAGTTGCTCGAATCACCGCTCAGCTCTAGCTCGCAAACACTCATATATAGGCTGGACAAGATGTCGGTTGCATAGACGCAGGCCAGCTCGGTGTTATTGGGCTTTGCCTCTAAAAAGTTTCAAGCGAAGTTATCGGCGTCAAGTTTTTGTTCGGTCAGGGTGCTAAATGCATAGTAAAGCCGCTTACCATAAAATCGACGTTCATTCAAAAAGGTCAAAATCACATGCACTATCTCCAGTTTTCCTGACAAAGTCGCCTGCAACTCGATTAAGGACGCCATACGCTGCTCATATCCTATTCGAGTGAAACAATACAATACAGCTCAGTGTCTAACTCAACTCTCACAGTATTCATACTGGTGATTATGTGGTTACCTTTCTTAAAGCGCTGGTAATGCTTCTGCGTCTCAGCCAGAAATACCCTGAGACTGAGCAACTCTGAGTGAATAGCCGATGCAAAAGTTTGGACGACATTTCCGTAATCTTCTGCTGGTGCGGAGCAAATTTTGTCGACTGCAGACTGCAGTTCAAGTATCTCGCCGGCACTACCCAAGAATGGCTGAAGAGTTGACTCCAAGGCGCCCGGTGACAAGTGCGATACAGTTACTTTTGTAGAGTACTACGGTCAAAGAAGTGCAAGTTAATTTCATGTCATTCGGATAGGCCAGTAGCAGCAAGTCGCATGAATCTTAATCTTACAGTCGCTATGCCGTCCTTAAAAGTGAAGATAATGGTAGGAAGTCCTTGAAGTAATAGAAAGATCTCGTTAATGATGTCGATTTCGTCCATTACAGGAGTGCTAAGCGCAAGCACATAATCCTTGCAGTTATAAAGGGCCGAATTTAAATCTGAAGAGCGCTGAATGTCGAATCCTTCCTCTAAGCTTGACGCCCCAGAACTCCTCTCCTTCGAAAAGATCTTGTCGTCATGCCAGTACTGATGTTGCTGTAGTATCCTCAGAGACATATGAGATGGTGCTTTTGTGCCAGGTCGCTGCATCCAAAGATTCAGTCCGCTAAGTGGTTTACTGCTTGACAGATTGCTGTCCTTTGCTGAGTCACTGCTGCCCTCTTGACTTGTCTGAGGCTTCTTGGCGTCGGGCGCGGCGCGTGGGTTGATATCCATATCTTCGAAATCGCTCCCGCCGTTGTCCTGGTCACCGTCGTCGGCTCCAACGTCCCAGTGCTTTCCTACCAACGGATCTTCTTTGAGGATGGCCTTCCAGAGCTCTCTGTCCAGGTCTTCCTGGCTCTTCACGCCCTCTTTTGGCTCCTTCAACGCCGCTGGCACTGTGTACACATTCTCGCCCCTTCGAAGAGCAGTTGGTGACTCTGATAACTCGAGTAGCATCAAAAGTACAGACGACATGACGTTCTGAGCGCCTTCCTCCCGGTCCATTTCACTAGTTGCTGCAATCATCCTAGCTGCATCTCCTCCGCCGAATGAACGAGCGAACCGCCTCAGCTGACGAAGATACGTCCTGAGTGCCTCTGCCTTGCTGTCCTGACCTTTCATCGAAAATTTCTCTGCCAACCCCGTCAGTCGCATGTTGATAGTCTCATGATCGATAGCCTTGTTGCGGACTCCCCCTATGCCGTTGACGTCGAAGAGGTGGAGGCCGACATATGCGGAGCAGGTATCAAAGTATTTGTCTCCTGGCTGCCAGATCAAATGAACCAACGTTAGCGGCCATTCATTGGTTTATGGTCGAACAGCATTGTCACCAAGAACATTTTGCAAAATGCCATTACTTGGAATCCTGTAAGGCGGCTAATGAGCTCTCTCGCGGAATCTGGCAGCGCCGCGCGTTGTCTCCTCGACATGGACATTGAGCGACTGATGTTTCCTGAATCTCCAGAATTGAGCGAGATGTTGCGGAGCATGCCTGCTTCTAGGAACAATTTCAGGCTTAAATGACCGTCAATGCTCAACTTGTTCATTTGAGAAGATCGTTGTATTTTACAATTGAAGGCGCTATGTATCTATACCATGCGGCTACGACTAGGCGTTCCTGTTTGCTCTATTCCTCTATTGCGATCGAGTGGCATGCTCCTCGACTCTTTCAGTGATCTTCTCGAACACAGGGAACAAGGACGATGTTGGGAACTGCTTTACGAGGTCGGTATCCATTGCTGTCAAGGTCGGATCGATTGGGACTCTGCCTAGGAAGTTAAGTCCAAATTCTTCCGACATGGCCTCTCCCCCTCCAGCCGAAAACAAGTTATTGCATTCCTGTATATTGTCAAGCGGATATCCGGTATGCATTTTTCAAAAAGAGGGCCATGTAAGTGACTAGACCATATAGAAAACCATGAAGGTAAAACGAGAAATCCAGAGGGATGGCTGCACTTACAGAGCAATGAGGACAAATAAAGCCGCTCATGTTCTCAACCAGTCCGAGAATGGGGATGCCGACCTGTCGACAGAAGCTAACCTGCTTGCGCACATCTGACAGAGCCACTGCCTGCGGTGTTGTTACGAGAATGACGCCGTCTGGGTTGTATGCCTTGAGATGTTCTACAATGGAGATGTTTTCATCCGAAGTGCCTAGTTCAAATTCGGTTGATGCGCAGCGTCAGATAATGAATCGGCCGGAGCCATGGCATTTGAAATCACAAACAACTGAAAACTTTAGGCGATGAATTACCTGGTGGTGTGTCAATAATAAGGTAGTCTAGTTCTCCCCAGCAAGTATCTGTCAAGAACTGGCGGATCATAGCTACAGCGAGAGAAAAGAAAAGAGGAAGTAAGTTTCATGCTGATGCCTGATTGTTCCAAAATGGCTGGAGAATAGAGGTATAGTCTATAATGTGCCATACCTGTCTTCTTGGGTCCACGCCAGACTACGGAGTCATCCTTGTTCTCGAGCATGAATCCGATCGACATGCAACACAACTGCTTCTTTTCGTCCGCATATACTGGCACCCATCTAGATCGATAAGAACAAGAATGATCGTCAAGCCAATGTCCAGATCTCGATCAATGCACACTCTGTTAAAGAACAATATCTCGGGCCAAGACATACCCTGCAGATGACTGATGAATACCCCTGCCGTCGAGACCAAGCATACGGGGGATCGAGGGTCCACAAAGATCGATATCGAGCACACCGACGGTCTTTCCTCTGGCGATGAGCGACAGGGCCAGCTGGGTAGTGACGGACGATTTGCCCACGCCGCCCTTGCCGGACATGACGAGGATGATATGTTTGACCTTGTCGAGCTGAGGTGGTTGTTGCATGCTAGCCATGATGTGAATGAAGAAGTGAGTAGGTGTAGAATGCAAAACAGAATGAATAAAGGAACAGAATGTATTATTCAGCTGAAGTAGGAGATAAACTTTAATTTCGAGAGATCATGACTGTTCTCTGTCATTGGTAGGCGCATCCGGTGGCCATGTCTGTGTGCGCGCCCTGATTACCGTTTTCACCAAGGCCAGGGTAGTCCATCCAGTACCTTGTGCCAAATCAATGGCAATAGAGTATTTTCGATTCCTGGCCATGCGTGTGGTATAATGTTAAGGATATTTACTACTGGCTAGCTTCTTTACTCTGGGTCCGTCCTGTATGTCGTAGCTATATGTCCAACTTATACATATTTGCTTCTGTTAAACGTTGCAAACGAGAAGACTTGGGTGGAGAAAGAGTATTACTGGAGTTGAAATAAAGTCTTCGTGCACTTTGATCACGGGTCGAATCTTCCTGGATCTACTCCTGTCGAAAATAGACGCGCTCTGCGACGCAGCCGTTTCCGATAGATGCGGCTTGATGCTCGACTGAAACCTCTCCAGGGCGGAGTGAAATCCTAGTGATGCGCGACAGTAGACCCTCCATCGTCCTCTCAGCATCTATGCCGATGAAATCGACTGCCTTTTTAGTTTTGATCAGCTCTATCAGGCTGCAAATAGATACCAACTTTTCGGTCCAAGCTGGTTGATATTGGAGCGTTTCAATAGCTCAGACACTGTGGAAAGGTGAATCTATGGAAGGGTCAAACGGCTGACTACAAGGAGGACTGACCGAACCTTGGGGTAATTGTGCGAAAGGCAGAGAATAGAGAAGATGATAGGCTGGGGGAAGATTTTGAAAAACATGCTGGTAGCGACGGTAAAGCTGATGTTAATGGAGAACTAGCAATGGATTATGCCCATTCAGCTCTGCTGACTACGGTGCGGATGAGAGGGGTAGTAAGAAGCGCTTATCTGTTGGGGAGATAAAGAGGAAGATACCCTGAGCCGTATTGCAAGCGATGAATGCCATTATCATATCTGATCAACCGCAGCGGCTGCAACTGCTGGGCATGATCGTGCTGGCTGGAAATGCGTCATGAAAGGGCCCTGGAACGCGGGGTATGAACGTCGTGTGGAAGCAACTTTATTTGATTTTAGGTAATTGAATCGAGCTCCCACCTTCCAATCTGGGAATACCAGTGAGGGGCTACAAAAACTGCCCTGGCTAGTGTTTTCGTTTAAGCACTGCGTCGCGTCTGCCTACGATAGAGATTGGCTATAAAAACGCTGAATGTCAATCCTCCTCTCGCTCTCTCTCTTCTCTTCTTTTCTTCCTTCCATTCACACACCAAATAACACGCCCTCTTACCTCCTCTTTGCCAATCCACCCAATCAAGCCAACCATGACCAACACCACCGAAATCGAGCCCGTTGTCGAGCAGAAGCACCAGGACCCCAAGGCCTTTGTCGATCTTGCTCTCGAGACCGCTGACCACCCGTACCCTCCTCAGCCCATTCCCGCCGGAGGCTCTCACTCTGCCGCCCAAGCGGGCGTTGCCACCATCGGTGTTCCCCATTACGACGCCAAGCACCACCATGAGGGCGAGCACAAGCACCATGAGGGCGAACATGCGCATGAGCACCACGAGCACCCGGACGCGTTCCACGCCTATGGCGACAAGCTGGTCGGACACAGCGAGAACGCTGCCGCTCCCATTCATAACCGTCCCGTCGCCTAATCGACGAGTCGCTTGTAGTCGAGAACAATGTTATCCCAATTTGTAAATAATAAAGAAAAGAGTATGATGATGCCTTCCTTTCTCTATATTTTGCCGTGTCCTTGGCCTCTGTGAGCTTACGGTTGCTGAGCAGTGTTCTGCCTGTCTACCTCCTCGTTCTCCACTCTTTTTTTACGTACTGTACAAGTATCATGAACAACGGGGTAACTGAGAATGTGAAAGGGCGGAGCGGGCTCACGACAAGTTTAGAGGGATGAGCCATGTATATAAAGTATGTAATGATCAACGTTGTCAAGAAGAGCAAAACGCAGGGCGTGGACACTGTTTTGTTGTTTTTCACACGCGTCGATAGTGTGGACGAATCAGCGATCACTACTCTTTCTCATTCAGGAAAAGAAATGGGACCATACCATTGATTGAGCCTTTGTGTTCCTTGTACCCCTTTCTCAAATGAGGTGAATGACAGTCAATAGCATAGACTGTTCATGAGCAAAGGAGGCTGTCGTGTTGCCAGATCGTTGCGCTCTCAACAACTTAAAGTTACTCTTTGGTCAGGTTCTTCCAGCTTAGCCGGAATCCTATCTACATATCTGGGTACTGCGCTTGCTCGGTCTGTAAAGTCGCCAGAGGTAACGAATATTGCGCGTATGCTTGCACACAAGACGAATCCAAGGACTAGAGAAAAACGTGCTCATCGCATGAGGGAATAACACGCGACACTATGTTCACTGTTTGCCTTGGATATTTGTGTCCTTTTTCCGACCGACATCCACCCATCTGCGCTGTCAACAAACGGTTTTACCTTGGGCGAGCAACATTCACCAGATACAAGGACCACATGCAGTCTAGGCCTCTGCAGCTGTACGTTTTCGATGCGCTGAAATGCATACCCATACACGTCGATCACGATCACGCCGTGTGGAAGCTGCCTGGCCAATTACCTTCCACTATCGTCTTCTCACCAATCGAGAAAACAATCCGAGTAGTCTAAGTATGGCAGAATTTGAACTGGATGGCCGCGAGGAGCGTTGGCTTTTCTCCACATATCTCACAGCCATTCTAAAGTATGAGTATGCTATCAATAACCTTCGAATCCATATTGACGGCGCTGGTCCTTTTAGTTCTTTCGGGTATAATCTACTACATATATTTGAGGATGTGCGCCGTTCTGGGTCTCGCTCTCGGCCAAGCCTATGTAGTCGAGACCAGCGTATTGCTATTAAAGAATGATGATTCCGGCAGTACGACAATGGCGCCTGGAGGCAAGGATGCTGATGTCGATATGAGCAGCTCTTTCGAAGACACAACCCCTATTCCCGTTCCTTCCACCTATTACAATTTCGCAGTAAAGCAGAAGGCTGTGTACCAGCCCACGTTCAAGCACAGAAGATGGATGGAAGAGCAAAAAAAAAAGCATTGTACCAGGCGACGGAATATAATCCATCAGCAACATTGAGACTAAGCTGCCACCACTGCGCGGTGAGGGAGCCAGCTTTGCGAACTATGCTACGGAGCTTGAGAGGGTAGAGGGGCAGCTGAATGAGTTTTACAACGGCAACAACCGGTTCAAGAAGCATAAATAGGACGCGAAAGGGGTCATAGATGCGGAGTGTAGACTCATAACGGATCGCCTATTCAAGTGGGTCGAAGGATTGACCGGCGGAAAGAAAGAGGAAACCAACAAGGTTGTGATTGGGATTGGTCTGGGCAAGCTTCCGACCAAGACGAGACTCTTCTTTTTACCTAAGTCCTTTCAGTCGTACTTTGTTCAGAAAGTAAGAGCATTATCACTTGAGAATCGAAGTTATGTAAGACCGTTTTATGTTTTTATTACTTTGTCTTGATGTTTCTAGGCCAGGTCCCTAGGCTATACTTCCCGATGTGCAGGTCTGCGGCACTTTCATGCACTGCCATTTACTTCATCAACAGCGACCGCTCTATCTTCAGCCAGTATATAAGGACGGGCACTACCCTTGGATGCAAGATGCAAGACCACACACAGAAGCCGGGGGCAGCAGCAGCGGCAGTAGCAGTAGCACAGAGGGGCAAGCGAGCAGCCTCACCCTTGGAAAGGATGAAAACTCCTGGCGCCAAGCGACTATAGACTATGTAGATTTGTATGTGTGTCAGCACACTCTGCAGTACTTTCTTGCAAAGATGCGTTCTGTGACGTATTTGAGCCTGAATTGTTTGAACAACGACTTCAGCTGTTCACCACCTTCAGCTGTTCACCTTCAGCTGTTCACCTTCACGATGTCGATCGCACCTCCACCATTGCCATCTGCCATCAGCGGCTTTGGGGTACAGAATGGAACCGAGGACAAACTATCAGCACAGGACACTGATGCAACTATGGAGGATGTCGCATCTGTAGGCATCATTTACCCACCTCCTTATATTCGAGGTACAGCAAGCAACAACCCTGATCAGCAAGGTCGCAAGGAGAGCAGGATTAGCATGTAACATTCGAATAGAGACTAACATGTTTTCGTTCTCTATTGCGTATTGGATTAGAAATCGCCGACAAGACGGCCGCTTATGTGTCAGGGAGCAATTCGGGAGCATTGCTGGAGGAGCGTCTTCGACAGAGCGAAAAGAACAACGCCAAATTTTGTTTCTTGAACCCAACGGATCCATACCACGCTTACTATGCATTTAAAATCAAGGAGGCCAAGTCTGGGAAAGGTGTGTATTTGAAATCCAAATACTTCAGTATTGTTGCTCGACTGCCATGGGCTAGATCCTAGTGTACTAACGGACTTGTTATTGCTCATTGTATTTCCCTTAGCACCCAAGGCAGCGGAGATCAAGGCTGAAGTGGAGGCCAAGGTGGAGGAGGCGATCAAGCCACCCCCAGAGGAACCCCCAGCGTTCGAGTTCATGACACCCATGCCTTCTGTTTCTGCTCAAGATTTGTAAGTGCTTTCTCATTAGATTCCATTTATTGATAAAAAAAGGTGATATTAAGTGCTCAAGATGCTAACAACTCTTCTTTCTTTCAAAACATCAAACAGAGACGTCTTAAAACTGACTGCACAGTTTGTCGCTAGAAATGAGAGACAATTCATGGTGTCATTAGCTCAGCGCGAGGCTCGCAACTACCAGTTTGATTTTCTCCGACCCAACCACAGTCTGTTCAATTACTTTTCAAAACTCGTGGAGCAGTACTCTAAGATTATGGTCCCATCTTCCGACATGCTGGAGCAAATCGAATCGAGAGCCGCCAATAAATACGCCGTGCAAGATATTGTTATGAGACGAGTCGAATACACAGCTTACCAGCAAGAGCTCCGGAAGAAGAGGGACGAAAAAGAAGACGCTGAGAGACGTAAGAACCAATTTGGAACGTGCCTAAGGAATATGTGGAACTATTGGGAATGCACCGTGCTAATCACCATCCCTCTCTTTTTTCGTTGTCATTCAGAGGCGTTCCTGAGCATTAACTGGCAGGATTTCGTGGTGGTACAGACGATTGAGTTCACAGAGGCTGATGACGCTGTAGAGTTACCGTTGCCCAAGAGTTTGAAGGAGCTGGAGACCATGTCATTGACACAGAAGCGCATGATGCAAGTCTTGGCTGAGACAGAGGCTGCACCGGATATGCCGCAGGACATTGAAATCGACAACGATGATGTGGACATGGAAGATTCGGACGACGAGCAGGAGTACGCTGCACCACAGGCCCGCGAGGAGGTGGCGAATGTGAAGGAAGTCGTCATGACAGCACCTCAACTTACAGCGCCAATGAAAATCAAGGAGGACTATGTTCCAAAGGCATTTAAGGGTCGTACCGGCGCTGCGTTGGAGGAGGCAACCCAGACTTGTCCTCGCTGCGGTGAGCAGGTCAAACTATCAGAGATGGATGAGCACGTCCGCGTGGAGCTGTTAGATCCCCGCTGGAAGGAGCTGCGCGAGCAAGCGGAAGCCAAGACCAAGGCCAGTAACATGGTCAGCGATGGTAATGTGATGATATATCCTTTCAATGATTTTGGGAGTAGTGAGGTCTCAATGTACTTGAAGCTAATATTTGTGCAATATTGCTGACTTCGTGTTGATTTACTTGTATAGGTACGGATGTCGCAAGAAACTTGAGCATGCTCAAGGCTCATCGCACAGACATTTTCAACGAAGAAGAGCAAACCACGAATGCAGAGGAGGAAAGAAAGCGGCAGATCGAGAAGGAAATGAACGTCTGGGACGGTCAAACGGCGACTGTGGCGCTTACGGCGCAAAGAAATGCTGCCGCTGCCGCCGCTGCAGCTGGTACAAGCGGTCCAGGATATGGTCTGGATGTGCCAAGGCCACCAGAGTCCAATATCGGGCCGCAGTTTGGTCAACCTACCGCACAGCCTCCTCTTTACCGCCAAGCAGGAACATACAATCAGACATTCCGTGTACAGCCCGGAGGACCACCACCAATCCCGCCGCCTGGCATGATCCCACCACCAGGCATGTCTGGAATCCCTCCGCCTCAGTTTGGACAGCAGCTTCCGCCTGGTATGCCTGGTGCTCCTGGGTTCTATCCCAATGCCCCCGGTGTGGGAGCAGCTCCAGGACTGGCACTACCGCCTGCTTCAGCCAACCTGCCTCCGCGGCCAACACCTATTCCAACTGCAGCATCATCAGCGCCTGTTCCAGGCGTCATGCCGGCACAAGCACCCCCTACTGGACGCCATCCCGAGGACGATGTTTCCATGTCGGACAGAGATCCGAAGCGTTTCAAATCCGAACACAACTCACCACTACCGCAGCCGCCTGCTTTTGCCGGGTCTTCTGCAAACGCCATACCGATGACTTCAGGATCTAGTTGGATTACGCTGGAGATTCAATTTGCAGATGCGGATGAGATTAAGCCAGAGTGGAACAGGGACAAGGTGCCGAGTGTAACAGTCGAGAACCTTGTGAATGGCACGATGATCTCGACCGTAAAGGACAGGATTTTCGCAGCAACAGGATTCCCTGTGGGCAAGCAAAAGCTGATCCTAAGCGACGGCACAGTTACCAAGAATCAGGCCACACTTGGAGAGTATGGGTTCAGGATCGGCCAGCGTGGTGAATTGCGTCTTGCAGTCAAGAAGTAATAATAGTAGCGACTTTAATGGAATAAAATGTAAAACTTTATGGAGCATGAATCCTGTAAGTTGTTCTACCAAACCGCAAAGTTGTTGTCTTTGAGGTCTTTCGGCTCACAGTGAACTCACAAATGATCTTGACCATCTTGCTGCCCCTGTTCCTTTCTTCCTGTGCTTGGCATTTGTCTTCGAAGCCGTGATCGACGCTTTGTATTCCTGGTCGATAGAGGAATTGGATCGCGTACCATCCAACTGAGGATGTTAAAGGACGACAGGGCAAGGGTTGACTGCAAACCAAGAGAGTTGGTACGGTTCCCTCGTGGCGACTTCATGTGACAGTGTGCAACTCGGCCGAGAAATGGATTCCCCCTCTATCACACTTTACCTCGCCCACAGCTCCACCCGCCTCGTATTTTTAAGAATAGGGCGTTTCTTCTCTTTCTCACTTCTCCTCCCTCTCCTCTCTCTCTCTCTCTCTCTCTCTCTCTCTCTCTCTCTCTCTCTCTCTCTCTCTCTCTCTCTCTCTCTCTCTCTCTCTCTCTCTCTCTTTCCCTCCCCACTCTTCCCTCGCCCGAAACTCATCTCGGTACATTCGCTCGGACAGGACTCGCATAAAACTCAATCGCCATGCCACCCTCGACCATGAACAAGATTCTCCTGCGCATGCCACCGCCCGTGGTGCAGCACGCCGCCAACTTCATCTCCTTCTACTTTCAGCACGTCCGTCCCCACCAGGCCATGGTTCGTAAACACCTCCGTCGCCTGATCTTGCTCGTCTTTCTTCTCAACTTCAAGTCCCTGCCTGGAGTCTTCCATGCCAAGATGGGTCTTCGTATCGCTGCCGTGCAACTTTATTCGATCCGGCACGGAAAGGGCTTCAGGATCAAGCCCACAGACACCAGCATTGTCCGTGAGCGCGTCTGGGTCGACGACCTGGATCTGAACTTCCACTTCTCCAACAGGTATACAAAAAAAAAAAGAGCAGCGTCCATGGTTCAGCAACGATCCATGATTGCAGCGACAAATAAGACGGGGGGTGCTGACACTTTATGATGCATATCTTTAATTGTATAGTTCTTACGGCAAGAACTGTGA